CCAAGCCAGGCTGAGAAACCATACTGCATCCCTGTGATTCCTCCAGCTGTCATCGGACCACCTCCATTTCGCCGCTGCTTGGATTTCCTATTCTCGGATACCACCTGCCTGCCCACCAGCCACTCTGTCACCTGTTGCCACCTCGGAGGTCCGTTCCTCCGCTCCACTCCCCCCGGTTAGGTCTCTGTGCCCGGCGATAAGCCTTAGGCCTTCACTTCACATTTCCCCGCTCTCTGTCCAAAACTAACTCTCAGCCTCTTTCCCACAGACCACTCGAGCCGATCCTCGCGTCCTTTCTTTTCATTTACATTCAATAAAAATTCTATTTTTTATGAGGTCAATATACTATCCTGATCTTGGCGCTGATGGTTTGTTTTTTTTCCTTTGCTCCCTGCCCCCCTGTCTAACTGGTTCTGCGGCTGATTATCGCCGATCATTTCCAGCTGGTGTCTCTGCTATTTAGGTTGTGTGTTTGCCTCCCATCAGCGCCAGGTTATTCGAGTGTTTTGGCGAGACGTTTCCTAGCAATCTTGTCGTATCTGATCTTGGATTCTACCGGCTTCTGAACCTGGAACTGTCTTCTGACTTCGGGCTTGGATTTCCCTTCTGGAGTGGTTGCTGCCCGGCGTCGGCTGGCGCCCTCTCCACTCATTCTCTAGGAACTCTGGGGGCGTCGCTTGCCGCAACTGCGGTCAAACCTACCGTCTGGATTCAGCTGTGTTCTCCACAAACAGACTGAACTTTGAATCAGGTCAGTGACTTCCAAGTTGTATTCAGCCCCACATCCAGACACTGACCTGTATTCTCCTATCGCTGCAGAGATCCAGCCCGCAGCAGACGAGCAGCCCCGCGCTCCTGTTAGTTTTAATAAATGCTTTGACCTTTTCCACTGCCTGTCTTGTCTCGAATTCTGGGTCCAACTTCCGGAGATCATTACATATACATTTATAATTTAGGAATTTTAAACATTTTAAATTTTTTTTGACTTAAACTAAGTTAAAACTACCGTTTTCTAAACAAAATTGAATTAGAACTCAAGAAAAACTGTTAAATTCATCTGAAAAAATGTGAGGATTGTTTTTTATTTGTTGTGGAAAAATAAAACATTTAGCAGATGAAAACTGGGATCCTATCTCAGTACCACTGAAGCTGTCACCTTATTGTTTTTGAATAATTAGTCAAACGAAATTTGTAAAGAAAAAGAATGAAATAGATAAGCATCTCCCTGAAATGAGTTTTTGGAACTTGGGATTTCTGGATAGGGAAGAAAATTATTTCAAATGATATTTACAATGCCACATTCTGCCAATTTCTAAAGGGGCTATATTTATTATTAAATTCCGTATTCATTAATATTTCCACAAGTGCGTATGTGTTTAGAAATAACACTTCTTAGTGTTATTTCTATATTCCAGCTGTTTGAACTGTTGATTACAAACCAAAACCACATTTCTTGTTTGTGTCCATAAAGATGAGTCAGACTGATTCCATAAAGCTTCATAGCAAAGTGTTTCCCTGGATAAATCCAGCCTCCCATGTGACCCCAGCAGAGTAACCACCTGATCTGAGATCACCGGGATGAGTCTGGACATAACGCCGCAAATTTTCAGGGTGGGGTTTCCATGGTTGCATCAAGGCAGAGGTAATAAAACGCAGAAACAAACAAATCCGTTTCCAGAGTTTTCAAAATAAAAGTCAAAGTGTCTCAGAATTACATTTTATAGACATTTTGTGGATTAGGCCTGACTACTGTCATTTCTAAATGGTGATTTTTCCTATATAATAAGGACATTGGTGGGACATTTGCACCAAATATTTGCTATGGAAACTGTATTAAACAATTGCACCTGCATGCCGTAGTCCAGTTGTAAAAAAAAAAGTAGAGGGGTAGTGGATTTTTTATTTTTATTTATTTATTTATTTATTTTTTTTGAAGCATACATAGCCTAATTAATATAGTCTATTAACCTAAAGCAATATGCATGGTATGGTTGTTACATATCAGGTATGTCGGTCACTGACCTTGACCAAGGCGCCTTACAGTAGAACTGCAGTCAGTCCCTGGACTGGCATGGCTATCACTGCCCCTTCATAGTTAGGGACAAGTTTCCCACTGGGATCAGCTTCTTGGTCACGGTACGACACTTGTTTGATTTTATTTATTTTGCTCAGGCTCCTCTTAAGCCCACAGTATGAGCCACAGATATTGAAATGGCAATATTATTGCCAATACTGTTACTATATAGTAGAAATTTTACACATTCAGTAAAAAAAATGTCCAAGGAGGATGATTTGAAAAAAAAATTTTAAGAAAGGGGATGCCGCCCCCCCGAGTTCTGAATACAGGCCTTCCATAGGCTATCAGATCCCAACATTTGCAATGTTGCTGTTTGCTATTTTCTCTAAGTGTTATGAATATTTTAGTTGTACCATTGTCAGGACGACAGGATACCAGAAACATTGAAAACCACAGATTCTAATTTTTAGGTTGTATTAAAGGGGGTTTAAAAAAAATTTATAAATATGTAATGCAAAAAGTGAAAACAAAATGAAAACATGGGTTTTCCCAATAAAAAAATACTTAGTAAAAAAAAAAAAAAAAGTGCTAATATAGAGGCCCTTACTAGGACAGTTTTCATTTGAAGGAGCATCACATAAAGTATTCAGAAGTGATTGTACAGGAACAGTTCAGCAATGTTAAAAAATCATATGATTAGAGAACCAGTTGTGTACCAATTAACCAGTTGAATCCTAATTGTAAGATACTTCAGCAGATGGTCAGAGTAACAGTCATTAAAATGTTAGATATCAGAGGAAAATTACCTGAATGTATGAGTTGCTAATTCTAGGGGAGCTCTTCATAATGAGCTTATATGACAGAGGACAGAAAAACTCCCTGTAGCACAAAACCTACGTGCTGGAGTAGGATCATATGATCGCTTTTCACAGATAATATGCTCCTAATTTCAAACCAAATGCAAACGCTAACTCTTGATTCTAGAAATGCGACTTTGCTCCTCACTCAAGAAGAAAGCTTGCCTCTAGAAGTGTAGTTAAAGCTACAGTGTGTAATAATTACAGGCATATAAAGTCAGAAATTTAATATATTATACATAACTATGTTATTTATCATCACCTATGAGCTCAGCCTTTTAACCATAATATTTGCGTTGCCTTAGAATTCGTTATTTATAATTACATAGGAGCGGGTCTCGCAGCCATGGAGGCTGACATCTTTGCGCTACGGCAAGCGCAGAGGCAACAAACTAGCGATTGCGAGATCTCCCATGACGCTCAAAAATAACTACGGCAAGTTGAGAGAGATTAACTGAGACGGTACTGAACAGTAGATGGCAGTATTATGCCTGAGAAGCGTTTAGTCTGCCTGAAACCAAAGAAGAAGAAGAAGCAGGTATACTGCGCCTCAGTAACAAGAAAGGTGAACAAGGCGGCAGGCGTGAGTGACTTTGCAAACTGTTTGGCACTGTGTGGCCAAACATCAGACGAATGGAGGATCATGCCTACTCTGTATCACAACGAAAAGCGGCGGACACCGAACCCCCGTCATCTAAGAAGCGGAAACACGACGAGAATAAACGCAAGCGTGACAAGAAACGGCAAAAAACACGGATCAACATTGGCACGGCATTTACACGATGGAAGTCACTGATGGAGGAAAAAGGTTTTCAAAGTGACGCTCAAGTTGCCAGTTTTCTCTTGGACAGGTAATTAATCCTACACACACAATTGTCTAATATCACTGCAGTTTTTGGAGTACAGGATGCTCAGACCTGTCTAAAACAATAACATGCTGCGTGATGATGCTGTTACTCTCCAGTATACTTATTCAGCAACGTCCCTGACGTTTCACAGGTAATGATTCAGTAATTTTCTGTAAAATAATTTTCTGGATATATACCTCGGTTACTTCTCTCCGGCTCCTTTGGAGATCTTCAAGCCTTTCCTCCTCTGCTCTCACCCCGCTGGCTCCCCTCTCTCGCCTGGCCCTAGCTGCACGGCCTCCCTGCCTTCGCCCTCGTCCTCTCCCTCTCCCTCGCGTTGTAACCCCCGTGCCACCAAAATGACTTGGACTCTGTAAACGGGGGATATATATTCTTCCAGCGAACACAATCTCGCTGTTAAACTAATGACTACAATTACTTCGTCTGTTTATATCACCATGCAAAGCAGCTCACCAAGACGTCACAACGATGTAGAAAAAATAACGGGTATATTTATTATCTTAAGTCTACATGAAATCTATACCCTACACAGACTAATGAAATACTATCTGTAAAATTATCTATGTAAACAAACCTCATCACTTGAGAGGGTAGGTGATGTGGACGTCGTAGAAGAAATTTTGTCCCGTAACGCTCGCCGTACTGTTGGGGGGCAGAAGCGGTGGGGGGGAGATGTTCATGTTGCTGCGGTCTGTAGTCTGACCGCTAGATGTCGCTGAAAATTACACACTGTAGCTTTAATGTGATCTGTAAAACCCAATTTTATAAGAATGCAACTAAAAAAACTGAAAGTTTTAATTTGAAAAAATAGAATCAGTAAAAAAATCTGAAAATTTTGACAAAATAAAAAAATAAAATAGATTAAATAAAAAAATATAATCTGCAAACAAACAAACAAACAAAATGAAACCAGCACATTTTTTTTTATAAATACGTTTTTCACGTTTAATTTCTTCATTTATTCATTTTTTTCTTTTAGAAAACGCCTTTTTGCTTGCAAAAAATAATGCAGCAAAATTCATTCCACAGATGGTATGATTGGAACAAGAACATACGGGGACGAGGGATGAATATGTCAGCGTAAACTGTGGCTGTTTAGCTATAGCCAATCAAGTATTTGTAAAACAGCGCAAAGTTATAATTTACTCTAATTCTATATGTACATAAGATGAATTTAAAAAAGAAAAGCTTGCGTAGGTTGCGTATTGGTGCTTTATTGTGAAAGTCCTGACAGGAAACGTGATTCGGTCTTGCCTCATTTCCGGTTCGTGTCACTGTCGTCCCCGGCAGATCAGCAGACTTCGGTTCAGCTCGGAGAAACAACACCGCTCTGTATGGTGGAGAACCGTTTCATATTCTGACCGTTTTTCTTGGGACCGGCTGTATGATTAAGCTACAATCTTCAATGAGTAAGCATATCCCAGTAAGTAGGATTTTTATTTTTTTTTTCTGGCTGCCATTTTGTTTTTTTCAGATTCATCTCCTTCGGGTTTTGTTCTAAATCAGATCTTCCCCAGCTGGCCTTCACGTTTCCTCGATAAAACCCAGGGCCTACGCGGTTCAAATTTGATTAAAAATGACCTTAAATCAAATTTTAAAGCACTCTTATTGTTTTTCGCGTTAGAATGTGTTAATAAACACCGTAAAACCCGTTTTTTCAGTGGCAGGGGAAGCTTTTTTGTGCTAGTATTCGCCATGCTTAGGAAGCAGCAGGATGATGCGCAGCTAAACCGGTCTTGACCGGTCTCTCCAAGTTTCCCTCGGTTAAAGTGAGCTCATATTTTGCTAAAGTCGATCACAAACGCAAGAAACCCTTTCGTATTCGTTCTCTAACCAACCGTTCTTGGTTTGCACAAGGCATCGTTTTTATCGTAAAGAACGTACAGGATCTGCCGTTAGGCCTATGGCGCCCCATCTGTGCCCTCAAAGACGCCTTTTTTCGACAGAAAATAGCGAAATATCAGGTTAACAGGGAGCGATCTGTCGTTTTTTTTATTTTTCTTTTAGCTCTGTTTTTTTTTTTTTTTTTTAGCTTACTCCTCTGTCGTTCAAAATGTCTACCAAATGCTAGCGTTGAGTCAGAAAATAGCGGATTATCGCACTTTAATTGAGGAGCTTAGGTTTTAGATTTGCAATAAATGGGCAGGGGATTCATGGTAAAAGTGGGTTCACGAGTTCCCATTAATATAATAGTATGGTATATTTGGAACAGAAAAAGGAGAAAGAGACGTTGATAAGCTTGATGAAGAAATGTCAAATCCTCCATGGAGACTTTATGGAGAAATGTGGCCTGGATGTCAGAAATGACACATCCTTTGTACAAGAGCGGTGGCCATTACATAAGATACTACACAACATGAGCTGAGTGATGATAAAGCCTTACTGGGGTGGTTTCTTTCTCTTTTTTTTTACACCCACACTGCCCAGCATTTCTCTTCTTCAGGGACACACCACCTGTTGTTTATTAATCCTGCGTGTTTTTACTGCAGCAGTGTCCTAATTAGGGTTGGGAATTGCTAATATTTTCACAATCCCGATTCCCTCATCGATTCTGTGAAATGATGCGATTCCTTATCTGTTCTCTTATCGATTCTGTGAAATGATGCGATTCCTTATCTGTTCTCTTATCGATTCTGTGAAATGATGCGATTCCTTATCTGTTCTCGTATCGATTCTGTGAAATGATTCGATTCCTTATCGGTTCTCTTATCCATTCTGTGAAATGATTCGATTCCTTATCGGTTCCCTTATCGATTCTGTGAAATGAAGCGATTCCTTATCTGTTCTCTTATCGATTCTGTGAAATTATTCAATTCCTTATCGGTTCCCTTATCGATTCTGTGAAATTATGCGATTCCTTATCGGTTCTCTTATCGATTCTGTGAAATGATTCGATTCCTTATCGGTTCTCTTATCCATTCTGTGAAATTATTCGATTCCTTATCGGTTCTCTTATCGATTCTGTGACATGATTCGATTCCTTATCTGTTCCCTTATCCATTCTGTGAAATGATTCGATTCCTTATCGGTTCTCTTATCCATTCTGTGAAACAATGAACTTGGTAAGTGCACGGTGACCTTCGTCTACCTTCGCCTGGGACATTCTATTTCAGCCTACCCGTCTCGTCACAGTCATCCAAATCTAATGGTGAAGGTGTCCGTTTAATGAAAAGGCATTACTGTACAATTTCGGGAAATAAATTCATCTCCCCTGATTTAAATAAACAAGTGTCACCTCTCTCTCGCTCCCTGAACTATGGAGCAACTTCGTTGCACGTTTAATAACCCCAAAGAGAGGTAGGAAATGGGTTTGTTTCCAGAAATGTTATATGATTTACTAGGAACCACATTAAGCTAAGACAGTGATATAAAACTAGCTACTTACCACCGGAGTTGCCTTCAATGCTGGTCGTAACTTGTGTGCGCAGGTGTTTCTGCATGTTGGATGTATTTCCTCCTGCGGATGTAATCGCCACTTTGCAACGATTGCAACGCGCCTTGTTGCCATCTTTCTCTTCCTTAAAATGAAGCCAATCTTTCGGTCGCTTTGACCGCTTTTGTTTTGCTTTTCTCACACCTGGTCACATCGTACTTGCTTACTGAATGCCGTGTGCGTAACTTGCGTAAAAAAAAAACCGTGATGTAAGTCGTGCTGCCCAGAGCTAGGCTCTGGTGCTTAAGCGAGCTGCCAAACGGTGCCATGGAATTGGAACACACGGAACCGGTTTTCGATTCCCATCCTTAGCCCTAATCCCATATTTATATTGGATATTTGTCCAATATTAGCTAAAAAAAAATATATATATATATCTGATATTGTCATGCTGATGTAAAAACATTCAAAGTTTCTTCAACTCATTGTTTAATATTTCATGTTTCAGTTCTCTTAAATATTGTTGTTAAATTTTGTTCTCTGTTTTTTTCCAATAATATTTAATCAAACCTTTTCTAACATTCTGCAGGTTAGAATAAGTCATAAAGGCATTTATGATTCATGGTAATGTTGAACCGGGTTAATATCTGTATCGTTATTTTTCAAAGATGCAATATTGGTGTTGTATTAGAAATTAAGATGTATCAGGACATCTAGACATTAATTGGTTGGGAATAGTTATATGTAGATTAAAATTTTTAATACATTTGTGGGTGATATGGCCTAAAAATCTCTTGATTTATTTCCTACCAATTTTTTTCTCCTTTTAATTTTCAAAATATAAAAGAAAAATGACATGTATTGCGTTGGAAAACTAGCTTTGATAGGAATCTTCCTCTGTGGGACGAGAGCTTTTATTAAAGGGCAACGAAATTCAAGCTGTAAAGCATTTAAAATAGTCATGTTTTGCAACAAATGATATAAAAAACAAAATGTTTTCAATCAGTGGCATCACACAAAGAGCTAGTTTATCAGATCTAAGTACACATCTAGGAACACAAAGTGATGAACCAATGAGAGAGTATTAGTTCAATAAAGTTCAGCTTTTCCTTTTTTTTTTTTTACGAAATAATCAATTTAGTTGCCCAGCCCAATAATTTCATTTCATTTTAATTTTTATTAAATATTATTTTACACCCTCCTCTCTCAAGCATCTATATTTTTGTAAGATTTTAAAGTCTATGCCTATTGACATCTGATATTGATGTATTGATCTTACAACAGAAGGTGCACAAAGTAGGAAAATGTGCATTTAGTATATACAGTGCATCCAGATATATACAGTGGGTGGAAAATAATATATTAGGAAAGAGTTAAGGTGACTTACATATACAGTATCTTATGTGCAGTGGTGATGGCAGGTAATTGCAGATTCTTGATTAGGCTCTTTAATTAAGATTTCACTTCAAGAGCAACAGTAGCTGCAGTTTTAATAAGGGGAGTTAAAGTACTTTTTTTTTTTCAGTGTCATCCAGCTGTGAGGAGACATTGAATAGATTTTGTGCAGAGCCGATGGCCCATATGATGCTGATGTTGCAGCTTTGAGTTCTAATCGATACCTATATTCACTCAGTATAAACACATGAATCATTCATACTTTTATTTCTCATTTTGTAGCATGGATCGCTAGAAAAAAAGGCTTGATCAATTTTACTCAGAACAGCGGGCCTGTTTATTATTAACCAATAGGTTGAATCAGCTTTATACTAAAGAAAAGTGTTTCTATCAGCTTGCTTGTACTAGAGGTTTTGGATGCATGCGAATATTTGGCCAACATCAGACTGGGACAACCAAAGAAAGGATGCCACCTTTGATAAGTAAAGTGACAGTAGAGTAGGGATGGGGATCGTTAATATTTATTGATATCGATACCTTTATCGATACTCCTTATTGATCCGAGTCTTTATCGATACCAATATCGATACTTTTCTGTTATTTGGTGGAAAGACGATGCAACAATATTTTTTAACAGAACTGGTATTGCTTTTATTGCTTAACAAGTGAGCTCAACAAAAACGTTTCTAGCCTTCAGTAAACATGGCTAATGTAATAGGCCACTTCGAAATGACAAAACTAACTAGAATATATTTTCACAATTGTTGGTTAATTTATTGTCTACTGTCACTTTTCATCATGTTTTTAGTGATTAGGAAAATATTTAGCAAATAAATAATTGTATTTTAAATTAAATGTAATTTTTAATATATGTTGGCATCAGTAGTTTAATTATATATTCTAAAATAATTAGAGCAATATACAACTGTATTACTCATGTTTCTCACTAAAAACTCAATTTCCCTTTTCTTTACGTTACACTTGAACGCATCATGATAACCTAATTGTCGTTTTACTGAGCCAATCTGAACACATCATCACGCAGCACGTCTGAAACTTTATTTACTTTTCAAGCTAACTAGCTTGTATGCTGCCGATTACAACACGGATTCCACAATTACTATTTTTAACTGACCGGACAAGCTACAAAGTCTGTGTGCGCGCTTACCAGTGGTACTCTGAGTGGATGATGAAGACGGGCCCGACTGTGGTGCGGCGGCAGCAGCAGGAGGAGGAGGAGTCTTTTCCGCTCAGCCATTCTCGAGTCGCGAGCAAAATTAAGTGCCAGACTTCACTTGTTTTACTTTTAATATCTGTTTGCTTACAATTTCATTCCAAAACATTGGTGTACATGCTGCAGTGATTGGGATTGATTAGATTTAAATGCTGTGACGCGACTCGAGGGACACACAATTATGTTACAGGACCTCCGGGAGAAAAAAAAAAAAATGACCAGACTCGATAGTGGTATCGATAAGCCCAAACGTTATTGATTTTCGGGTTTTGAAAAAGGTGGAACCGGGTCCTTGATGGAACCGGGTTTCGATCCCCATCCCTACAGTAGAGCAGATATTTACTGCATCTCAGCAAAATAAGAATGAGTGATTGCAAATTAACAGCTCTATTGTTTTATTATGACAGCTATTAGTGATTTTGGTTTTACAGACAGCAGTGGTACAGGTAGAGCTCTGTGATCATTGTTTCTTTATCCATCAATTTGAATTTGCTGTTGATTACACTTGGATTTTCATGAAGATCTTTGTTTTTGTTTTTGTTCATTGAGGCACTCTTCCAGTTTTTACGTTCAGGTTGATGCCAGCATAATACAGCAAGCTGCAAACATTTTGTGTTATTGTTTATTGTTTTCAATGGCAGGGCTTTCCAACTTGTTTACATGCAGGTTTCACAGCATGTGTTTAGTTGCAATTTGAATTCAGGCCAACTCCTAGAATGTGTAATTAACATAAAGAGCAAGTTTTTTAAATAGATTTCTGTCATTTATAGTTTGTTTTCCTGAAACAGAGTGGTTGTTTGTGTGTGTGTGTGTGTGTGTGTGTGTGTGGCGGGGGATAAGAATCATTTACTCTACCACGGAGTTCCGTCCCAGCGTTCACGGGGATGGACGTCTATGTCTTCAGCAGGCGTAAGATATCTCAACTTTGTAACATTAGATTTATAAAAGGTTTTCCATTCTTATTGACAGCCCGAGTTAAGATTTGGAGTAGAAGCTTTAAAATAAAGTCATGCTTTTATTACAGCAGCAAAATTTCAAACTCATTAGCATTCCCACTTTAGTCTTATTTTGCGTTTTAAAAAGAGATAGCAAGTAATAATCTACCGTAAATTCTCTAATATTGGCCTGTATTCCATTAGCGGCCGGGACTCTAACATTGGCCGGTCTCGCTGTCAGAGGAGGTAAATAATGGCCGGTCTCTCATACAGGCCGGGGCTATAAACGTTTTTTCTGGGCATACCTCAACATTATACTTGTGGTAGTAACATACAAGCACCATAGCCCTGCGCTGCTGGACGACAGGCCCTGACTGCTACCCGTCTGCGCGAGTAAGAGAACAGACACGCAGCAGAACATGAGGAGGAGCGCGAGTGATGGGGAGATTAAAGGGAGAGATGAAGAGGAGGAGAAAACTGAGGAGGATTAAACAGAATTGGAGGATTTTTTTTTTCTTTTTTACTTCAAACCAAGCGAGACATGGTTACTGTACTTTTTCAATAAATGAACCTAGTTTTTTATAGGTTCAAATAGACACAAAATCTCATTTTTATTCATTCCACTGGTAGTCTGTTTTGCTCAAATAGCAATAGAGGCCTGTCTCTAATTCTGGCGTCTTTCCAATAAAGGCCTGGACCGCGATGCACTTGAGTGAAATAAAGGCCCGGGCCTATATTAGAGGATTTACGGTACAAATACTTTGTTGTTCGTATGTCGCAGCTAATATATGCAACGTTTGAAATAATAAATCCGAATCATTTCCTTTCCCATTGAGTTCCGTCCCAGTGCGTCCTCTTCCACAACATCTTCGTCCCCGCTTTCCTCCTCTAAATAAAAAATGTATGATGGAGGAGACTCATCCATGACCTCCGACACAGAACTCTCCTCCTCTTGCATGTTTCCTCTGTCCATAGCGTTCCTTGACGGTGTCGTTTAAGTCATCAATTTAGTGCTACTTGGTCCCAATGGAATTTCCCATTGGGAACCTACTAGCACTAAGTTGCTAACTGGTTAGCAAGATGCTTCCAACAAACCAGCCACAACAAAACTTGCTTGCGAACCTTCTGCCACAACAATCCCGCTCCCTTAATAAACAACCAATCAAATTCACTTTATTCACTCGTGTAAAGTCGTGCACCACTCGGGGAAAATTCTGAACTGCAACAGTTGGAACAGCCATTTCCCTACGACTTTAAACTCTTCAAGTAGTGTAATTTTATTTTCACTCGGTTCAAACTGTGAAAAATCTGCAAAGTGCCTTTGAAAAAATAATCGATCAATTGATTAGCAACAAATATTATTTGCAGTCCTGATTGACAGCCCATCACAATAAAAACAGGGTTAAATGTCTAAATATATCATAGCTGCTGCATCTTGTTAATGCTCCATTACTTTTGTGCCACTCTGACTCCCAGTCATCCTTTTATTTGGAGCTTGATGTATTAAAAAGTTGCAGCAGCTGTCAATGCATCTTTTTTTGGAGCATTAGTACTCATTGCAATCATCACTTTGTCCTGGTCTCTTTTTAAGTGATGCCATTTCAGTGAAAAGCCTTTCATTATTGTCGAGGTCAAATATTGTTGAGTGTGAATGGCAAAGCGTAAAATTCAGCTGTTTGTTTTTAATGTTTGACTATCTTAACAAGTCGCTTTTAAAACTCTTGAAGTTGTACTTATCCTAGTAAAGTATGCATCACAAAGTTGTGGAGGTGGGATGAAAGAAAACGCGACCCTGGGAACTTGGAGTACGCTTTTCTGTTCCAAAAAACGTCTTTAACAGAATGTTCACATAATCAAAACACTGGTTTGAACTAGCTGCACTTTAAAATCAAAGCAGAAGTTAGGTTTTATCTCAAGGCAAACATTTTGTGCTATACTTTGTGTTTTATCATGCATCTTCATTTTCTTTCTTTTTTCTTTTTTTCTGGCTGTTTTTTTTACAGCAGTTCTGTGGTGTTCTGGGTCGCACATTTATGGAGTTTCTGAAGGGCAGTGGAGACTACTGCCAGGCTCAGCACGCTGCCTATGCAGACGAGTGAACAGCCAAACTTGCCATCCACATAACATACTTGAGCCACCGGAGGGACCCTGGAAACTTCACAGGACCGGGAGACCTCCCAGAACCAGCGATAATTCAGCCTGGATGGGGTAACTCCACCTGCTGGACACTGCCCTCGTTGGCTTCCACCCGCCAGACTCAAGGTGGAACCAGCCTTTTTTATTTTTTAACTTTCTTTTCTTTTGATTTCATCCCAAAAGAGAGGATTTCAAGTTCCTTTTCTAGTTGCCTGCCATATTGTCAGCTGGCACCTTCTTAAACTTTCCCGCCATTTCTGTTGTTTTGCCAACATTAAGAAGACCGGGGGATCTTTGTTTCCGAGCTTCCTGTAAGCTCTTTGGACCTTTTGGGTTTTACATTCCCTCTTAACTGTTTACACTTGTCGATTTTATTTTTTGCTTTTTGGAATACGTTCACATTTTGTCGTCCAAACCAACGTTACAATGGCTCGAATGAACAGACCAGCCCCTGTTGAGATCACCTACAAAAACATGAGGTTCCTCATCACCCACAACCCCACCAACGCCACCCTGAACAAGTTCATTGAGGTGAGGCACAATGCATTTTTTATTTATTTTAAAGGTTCTAACTATATGAGAGAAGGGACATAAGAGCTAGTAGGAAAAGCTAAAGCTAAATGTTGCTGTAACTGATTATTTATCGTCGTTTTTCCTACAGGAGCTGAAGAAGTATGGAGTCACCACTGTGGTGAGAGTTTGTGAGGCCACCTATGACGCCACCCTTGTTGTAAAAGAGGGGATCCAGGTTCTGGTAAGTCCAGTCCTGTTTTTGAACTGATCAATTCAGTAGCTGCGGTATTATTTCATCATGTTGTTCTTAGAAAAATGTTTAGGTCATTTGAGGGTTTTTATTCTCCTACCCTGAATAGTTCTACTCTCTCTATCACTGAGTTTTGGTTTCCAAACTGCTGATATAAATCGGGTAACTAAAGTCGGCATCTAATCTGCTCTGAGTTTAGCGCGAGCGAATAAGAACGACTGACCAGCTGATTACAGATAACGCCTTTCACCATGGCAACGGGGGGAAGGAAGCCTCTAAATTAAGCACGAAAAATAGCATCTGCTGCTTCATCTTTGATGCAATGAGCTTCTCAGAGGGTCTGATGAACATTGGGAGGAGCTTCCCTCTGATGGCATCTTGTACAGTGGATGAAATAGAGTGGCTTTATTTTATTGAATAAATGAAGCCAGAGAAATCCTCACTGCATTGTCTGGATTCACTTTTACTTTTTTACAAATAGGGCGAATATATTATAAGTTTTATTCCTTCTGCTCCCTTTCATTCACAGTTTTGTTTGTTACACGAACGAGTTATGTTATGTATTTTATTAAATGAAATATACTTAACCAGATACTTTAGTGTTGTTCAATTAGTGAAGAATTTCACCCCACTTGATGCCAGTTTGACAACCTGCCACCCCGCGTTGTTTTTACCCCACCCACCATATCTACTTCCAGGATTGGCCGTTTGATGATGGCGCTCCTCCCTCCAACCAGATTGTGGATGATTGGCTGAACCTGTTGAAGCTGAAGTTCAGAGAGGAGCCTGGCTGCTGCATCGCTGTCCACTGTGTGGCAGGACTGGGAAGGTGAGGATTGACCTGCAGAAATGATGCTGGACTCCATTAACATAAACCTGGGTTAACAAAATTTTTTTGGACCACTTAAATTCCTCAAAAGCCAAGTTGACAATGATGTTTATTTTAACATTGACCTCTGCAATGATACTTGTTATTTGAACAAGCTTTATGTGCTGATATTGGCGCCTTGAACCCAGTTATAGAACCATAGTGATCTGATCACTGCAAAGTTTGAAGATGCCTGAAAGAGGAAAGAACTCTGAAATCTCATATATGAACATACAGCCTTAAAAGAAACATAACATTTTTCTTTCATTTCATTTAGGATTCCCGCGGGTCCTTAAAAAGTCTTAAAAGGCATTGAATTCTTCAAAATAAAACTAAGGCCTTAATTGGTATTAAAATGTCTTAAATCAGTCTTTCGTAGGTCTTAATTTTTAAAACCTCATAAAAAGGATTTATTTTTGTAATCTAAATAAAACATTAAAATGGACCTTTTGTTTTTATTTCAAAAAAAAAAAAAACGGCTTACCATTATTGGTTCCGTCCCGATAGCGGAACCAATAAAAGCGTTGTTGCGGCCGGGACATTTTGGAGTGGCGCCATTTACTTTTTGTCTGGAAAATATGAGCAAGTGTAAATGTAACCAAAATTAGCTCCAGCCAAGAGTTTTCTCCATGGCTAAAACCAGGGAACATACATGAGGCACAGTGGATTTTGTGCCAGAAGTCATTCAAGCTCGGAACGATGGGAATTAAGGCAGTGGAGTCGCACATGCGAAGCACGAAACACAAAGCATCAAAATCGAGTTACCGAGAAACAGCCGTTATTTCTCGTTTTTGTTCCACCCTTGTCTCTGCAACGCCTCCACTTATCACCAAATCAAACATACTAAGAAAATGATTCAAAGAAAAATAGCTGCAAAATGGCTTTAAAACTGATTTGTTTTGTTCCCTGCTAAAACAAAGTTTGTGAATTCAGTTAAATAATTGTTAAAATATATCTGTCATTTATGTGTTTTTAGCTTTCTTCCTGTATGGGAAGCTTTTCAAAATTTGAAACATTAGTGCAGTGGTTTATGTTATAATAAACTTTTGGGTTAAATTGTCGCAAGCGGGTTTTTCTTGTGTTTCTTGTGAATTTGGTCTTAAATTTTTATTTCAAGTGGCATTAAAAAGTCTTGAATTTAACTTGCCTTATGCTGTTGGAACCCTGTCATTGTCTGATGAAACTAAAGGTACACTTGTTCAGAGATATAATCCGGCAATAATTAGATGATAAATTAGTATAAATAAAGAGCTGATATCATTCCATTCCTCATTTACTTGATAATGACCAAAACTGCTTCAGTTCTTACATCAGTAGCTGTCGTGTTATTGCGCTGACACAGCTGCTATGTATCCCATGTTTACTGATGTAGTCACGCGATTCAAATAGATTCTAATAGTCATGTAATATTCCTCTACAAAAAAATTCAAACCGTTTGATTAAATTAACTGATTAAATAAGGTTAAATACACCAAGGCTCCGTCCTTGTAGTGCTTACATGGTCATTTTTTATCCTAAATCAAATTCCAGCTGTAGGCATCATGTGCAGACATAAACAGCTATGGCACCATCTGCTGGCAGAACAACAGAACTACATAAAAGCCAGACAGTATCCACTAAATAGAGCCTGACTGCCCCTCAATGCCTCATGGTAAAGCGATGGTCGGAAACCAACAGATATTAATAACACTGATCTAAGCAGGAATGTTGGACCAAGGACACATCTGAGGGTCGCAGGATAACCCTCCCTGTGGAACTGGACCTGCCCCCTTCCTGCTGTGGAAACTAAGAATAGCAACGCTATCACTGGTACCAGCGTTAATAAGGAAGCAGCTTTAGCTCCTACTTCAGTGAACACAAACATTCAAACTGTATTCCCAGTCTAATTCTATCTTAGTCCCTTTTAAAAACAAGTACTTTTTGCTTTTTTCACACTGGATTTTGGACTTTTCTATATTATCATTACAACTTCGCCGTGACAACCTAAAAAGCTTAGCCTGATCCCTTCCGTATTTACCCCTCTGAGGACATGAGCGCCGTTATTCTAAACATTCACAAAGGGCTTTAATAACTAACCAATCCAACTTTATTTATAAAGCACTTTCAAAGGATCAAAGTGCTGTAAAGTGAAACAACATAAAACCATTACACAGACTGAAAAAAACCATACAAGCATAAAAGACAAACTTAAAATGTTCTTGAATATGTGGTTTTCTGCTGTTATTGCCCTGAAAATATTCCTAACCAGATTAAGAAGCTTTTTTTTTTTTATTTACCTTTACCTGATTATTAATTTTTCCACTTTCCATATATTCTTACTAGGATCGAATGTTTGTTGTTTTAGCACTCAGGGCAACATTAAATGTGAAATGACTCCATAATCGGATAAAAACCTGGACCTCTGCCTTCCTGATCTGCAGTCGCCTGTGTTAATGTCTGGTGTTTCCCTGCAGAGCTCCTGTTCTGGTGGCCCTTGCATTGATTGAATGTGGGATGAAATACGAGGACGCTGTCCAGTTCATTCGACAGTAAGTCAGTCCAGCAATTCCAGGCGGAGGATATGAGCCGCCATGAAGGCAAAATTTGATGTGATCAAACATTTTAAAACAAAGAACTTTGTTTCGTTGGTCTTTTTTTTGTTTTCCAGGAAGCGTCGAGGAGCATTCAACAGCAAGCAGCTCTTCTACCTGGAGAAATATCGTCCAAAGATGCGCCTGCGCCATCGCAATAACTGCTGCATCCAGTAGAGCCAAACCTCCTGCCACGCCAGCCCAATATCCCCCTATACCTGATTAAAAAAAATGAATACATTTCCTTCTTGCTAGCTTGCTACCGGCAGGTTAGATTATTTCCTGCTCTTTATTTTATAATTTTTTTCCTTTGGGTCATTGTGTTGAAAGTATTTTATGTTGAAAAACCTCCGTGCTGTAATGAATTGCCCTCTCAAGGCTTAAATAAATCATGTGTCTGAGGGATAACGAGTTGTGTGAACCACATTGCCTGAGGAAAAAAAAGAAGAAACCACCACCAGGAAGGGCAGTGCTGAGTTGTATCTTTGTGAAATGTTGGATCTCTAGTCGTCGCTGTTGTGTCCCAAAGATTTTAATTGGCCGCTACATTTGCATTGATTGAAAAAAAAACGTGTTACAGAAAAGTCTAGACGAGTTAATCCCCCCCGCCTCCTTAACTGTTTTTGAGTTCAAGAGTAGAAAGAGATATGCCTTCCTTCAGATCACACGGATCGTTCATAAATGCCTTACCATTGAAGTGAAACCGAGGCAGTCATACCAGGAGTCACCTCCCTCTGGCATCTGGAAAAGGTCTTTCATTTTTCTACTTGGAATAAAAAAAAAAAACTAAAAAAAAACAACCTGTTGCCTTTGTCTTGTGCAGGAAGTAAAACTTATTCCCTTTTAACTTAAGTTACCTTACTTTCATATTTATCAGTTCAACGGTTTTAAGTTTTTTCTTTAATTTATCAGACCTTCTGTTTACTGTTTCACTGCCATGTCCAAATTTTTGACTTTTTCTTTTTCATTTCAAGCGACTTTGGCTTCAAACTGGACTTCCAACATCTGCGGTAATGTCTATGCCTTTTTATTTGATGTCCATAACTTAAGACTTGCATACTTGATGATTTTATGTATTTGAAAATGTGTACTATTATTAGGTTGGCTATTTATACTATCAATGGATGTTTGGTTTAGTACAGTGAGCGACGAAGTTGTACCTGTTCACCAACTTGTGAGATTGCATTAAATGACACTGAAAAAACTAACGAGCGTCTGTTTTTATGGCTTCTAATGGGAAAGGATCCAAACATATCAGGGAAGCAGGAGAAGGAAAAACATGGATTAAAGAATCAAGCAGAAAATTTTGCTTGAGTTGAATCCCTGCATTTTTCAGGTCTTCTGCGGGTCATTAAGTCATTAAATCTTTTTTTTTTTTTTTATAATGCCTTAATTGGCATTAAAATTGATTAAATGTGATTATTGTTGCATTTAAAATGCTTTATTTAAACAAGTTTCACAAACAATTTTGTCAGATATAACTGGTTGTGCGTGTTTGCGCAGAACTGCATCCGGTTGATCGTAAAGCTGTTTGGAAAAGAAGCTCGAGGCGGATCGATTCGGGACATGGCTGCAGCCTGTTGACAGTAAAGATGACGAAGGATTTTGCCATGCCATTTATATATACCTGAGAGTCATGGGTAATTATTGATGGCATTAAAATTATTTCTAAGAGCATTAAATTAGAGTTACTCATTCCTGTATAAACCCTTTTTTCTTTAGATCAACAGCCATGAGGATAAAGGACACTTCTTAGGAACCTTTAAGCATAAAAGCAGTTCTGAAGAAAAGGATGAACAAAATAAATAATTTCTAAACCCCAAAATTTAGTTTCTTGAGAAACTGAGTGAATGAAATGATGGTGGACCTGCTCAGATGGTGTCAACATTCAGTGACAGGATCAGTTTGCATGAACTGCTGTGAGCCGTGGAGACAATAACAATAAAACCAGGACTTGTTTTCCTCATGGTTCATTGTTTATATTTACTTCAGCCGAAGGGTCGTACAAGTTGGCCCTGAGAACTGGAAATATGTTTCATGACGTCGGGTCTGAAACCTTATAATTATTTCTTAAAAAGCAGCACAGATGAAGCATTAGAAAAATTGGACCATTTTGGTTCAATTTGGAGTTTAATGGGTGGATGGTGACCTCTGGATGGATGATTTTTTTTTTAGTTTTTTTTTTTTTTACAGCACTGGTGGCTCATTTTTATGGGCAGTATGCTGACAGGAAAGGGGGTATGAGAGAGGGGGAGAGATGCGGGAAAGGACCACAGGCTGAATTCGAACCCAGGTCCCCCACGTCAAGGACTTAGGCCTCCATACATGGGCATTAACCACTGCCCCACCTGCATGCCCCAAAACTAGTCTTTAATATCTATTAAAAGTAGCACAGATGATCATTTCTACTACAAAAAATCTGCACTAACTGTTAAGTCTGCAGTTTTTTTTTATGTAGATTGGGCAGATTATCATTCCTCCATCCTCTCACTGCCTCCCTCCAGATGCTCCACCACCGTCTGCTGTAGCGAGCGTTTAAATGCCGCTAAATATCATTTTGAATATAAAGCAGTTAAATTTGGCATCACTTTTCAAAACAAAATTTTATGTGCCATCATTATTGGAAAATTCTTTATTCACAAGTTTCTCCAAATCTCCAAAATTATATTAAAAGTTTTCATGCCTCCATTAAGTTACTGGAAAATAACAAAGCCTTGAAGTTTTCAGATTTGATAGCAGTATAGTTTAGCTTTAACCCCTGAGTTGATTGTTTTATTTGATTTTTCTTCTTGATTCTTTCAATTGTTTACGTTTTTTTGTGTTTTTTGTTTGTCTCATAAAAAATGTTATGTATGGCATGTGTTCAATTGCTTTTTTTTCTGTTTTGGAATTGTATGTTGCAGTTGTTTAATAAAACTTAGGAGAGAAAAAAACCTTGCCGCTAGTGATGGACTCGTATAAAGGAAGCTATTAGGAGTTCAGAAGAGAAAACAAAAAAGGTGGGAAGGAGAAATATGTTGCCACGGTGACAGGAAGCTTCTCTAAGTGGCTAAAAGTGGTCAGGTATATGAAGTATAGTAGTTGGAGCTTCTGTGTGTAAGCTGCTACATATTAACATTACCTTAAATAAGTTGAAGTAAAATTTACTGTTTTTTTTTTTATTCTATTTTACAGGCAGTTATTAAATCAACTAAATAATTAAATAGGTCAAATTTAAGACTGATAGATTAATTATAAGGGAAAATTCCTGTCCTTAAGAATGTTTTTAGAGCATAAACAGTAGTGTATAGGATTTCCTAAAAGCGTGCGCATGCGAGTTCACGAGTCTACGGAAACCGCGGCAGACCAAACCAGATGAAAGTGCGCATTCAGCGTCTGCTCTGCCGATAATGCAAGCGTAGAAGAAGAAATGTGCTGCTTACCTGTGCAAAGAAAGAAACAACGAAAGAAAAATGTCTGAGGACTTCAGTGTTGTGGAAGAGCATGAGTTCTTTGCCGAGCTGAATGCGCACTTTCATCTGGTTTGGTCTGCCGCGGTTTCCGTAGGCTCGTGAACTCGCAGGCGCGCGCTTTTAGAAAATCCTATACACTACTGTTTATGCTCTAAAAACATTCTAAATGACTTCGTTTCGAGTAAATTCTGGATGCTACCCACTCAGGACACTTGGAATACATTGGACGAGCAGTATGGAGGAATATTGACACGTTTTTTGTGGACTTTTATGGACCTTTCTGCCTCGGGCACCATAGACCTCCATTATTTGAATGTCAGCAGACAGCAAGAAGCCTCCCAGATCTCCAGATGCATTTGAGATATCAAAAAAGTACTCCAGAGTGTTGTTCAGCATGGGGGTGAGTAGAAAATGAAGGCTAATCATGTTTTGGGTTTACAATTCCTTTAAGCTGCTTGATGTCGTCATCCTGATTACCGCTGAAACAATTGGATTAATCGTGATTAATAGATTATTGAAATAATCAACTAATTTAGCATTCAATTAATCATTAACTAGAATATATAGGCTGTAAAACGTGCCTTAAGCTGACAGAGCAACCCATTTAGAGCAGTAATTATACCAAGATTGTAAAACATATATCAACATTTAGCATTTAAGATAAAAAAAAAATCTTTTTCATCTCTCAATGCTCTATCCAAGGCGAAACGTTTTAGTTTCACCGGGTTTAATTTCATAAAAAGTCTTCTTTAAGGACCCTTTTGCTATCCGGTTATTATTTGAAAAAATAATCGATAGATTAATAGATTTGCAAAATAATTGTTAGTTGGGGCCCTAATTAAGACTATATTTAAAAAGGTTTCCGGTGTGAGGAAGGAGGAGAGAAAATAGGGAAGAAAAGTGATAAACGGGGAAAGGCAACAGGTTGATCTAATACTAGGTGGAAGTTTAGGAACAGCCATTTGATACCAAGTTATTCCTCAATATTTGTTCAATTGAAAACATTAGCAAGACGTGTAGTTTGTTCATATCTATCAAATAATGCTTGTTTTACAATAATGCTTAGTGGTGAAGTAAAACAATTTTGGATACATTTCACCTTCAAGCGTAGTGGTAATGCAAAATATTTTTACTTGTATTAAAGTAATATTCTAAATCAACAATAATACTCTTGCAGTAAATAGATACTGAACTGTAAACCATTTTTTTTGTTTGTTGTGCTAGGGGGGTAGTTTGCCCGGGGCACCAAATGGGGCTAGGACCGCCTCTGCATAAACCATACTAATCAACAAAAAGTGAGACAAGACGACAGGTGATGAAAAGAGACTCGGATAAAATCTAACAGGATGATTGAAACCTCCATATAAGGCGTTAATCTGGTTCGGTTGTTCTCCAGTGATTATCACGGTTTGTTTAAAGATGTTTTAGAACTAATTGAGCTAATTATTTTATATGTTCATATAGTTATCATAAGCCGTGCTTTTCTACTACTCACTTTGGATATATGAAAATTAATTTATCTAGAAGTTAATAACAGGAAAACTGAATGAGAAGATCTGCATGATCTGAGAATGATGGAGGAAGAGATAATCACCTGTTTAATGTTCATGTTTTAAGTTCCTTTTTCTTGTAGCTGCAAATATTGTGGCAATTAGATTAGAGGGGGGAGGACTCTGTTTCCACAGACATGTTGGAGGAAATGTTTGGATTTACTTTTCTGTTTTTTCTTATCTTCATGTCAATCTCCCCTTAGGGGAAGGCAGAGCACTTTAGGCCACACATAACTGGAAAGCCCTGGTAACCACCCCTGACCCCTCCACTCACACACTTTCCCCAACCCAGAGGCACAGTCCTAGTTTTTAGGGATGCACGATATAATCGGCCCCCTATCGGTATCGGCCTGTATCGGTCTTAAAACTGAATATTGGACATCTGCCACACCACCGATATTTAACCCGATATTTGATCAGCTTCTGAGTTTCCAAAGTTTTCTTCCTCAAAAACTTCTTTTTTACAGACTTAAAAACTTCTAAAGACGAGGGAAAAAATATTGATACATTAAAATATCACAATATCTTCATATGCTGATATATTGCCATTTAAAAACACCATATCAATCTCTTTTACTAATGAAATATTGCTATATGTCATCGTTATGCTACGAAATCCCCCGAAAATTCACGAAATTTTGCCATATTTTTATATGTTGATATATTGACGCGGTATCGATCTATTTTACTAACAAAATCTCACAAGAATTTGCAAAATATCACGAGAGTTTGTAACAGAACGATGAAACTTCACGAGATTTTGAAAGTAAAATAGATCGATACCGCGTTTTTACAAATCGATTTGATATCAGCATATGAAAATATATTTGAGTATATTATCTTTCAAAGTGTCAGAAATGGATAATAAAACTGCTATTTTCAATGACTACTTATTTTTGTCCAGCTTTAACATCAGCATCGATATCGGTTATCGGCTACATGAGTTTTAAAATATCGGCATATCGGATATCGGCCAAAATCCCAATATCGTGCATCCCTACTAGTTTTATATCAATTACACCATTGATTTATTTATTTTATTAATCTAAGGAAATACTAACAGTGGAGAGAAACATTCCTGGCTTTAACACTTCTTTTTCATTTAAACCCTTCGTTGAACCCCAGTCAGTCTCAGCCGATGGCCCCCCACAGTGAGCCTAGTTCTGGTTCTGCTGGAGGTTTCATGCTTGGTACGAGGGATTGCTGAAGAGTCAATGAATCGATTCTATCAGCTGGTTTTCCTTAGATAGAAAACTTTAAACCAACCTGACTGGATGATCTGATTGAGTCGTCTCTGTAAAGATAATACATTGTTATTTGGTGCTAAATAAATAAACTTAATTGAATTGAATTAATATTAATAAACATATAAAAAACAAAAGAAACCATCACCGTCCTAGTTTCCTAATTTCATCTGGATGACAAGTATTTCTTTTGATCTATGAGCTGGAAATGCTTCCAGATTTGATTTCCGGAATCTGGTCCCCTTCCTAGAGACTAACTGTAGTTTTTAAACAGTTTCTGTCCTCAACATTCGTATTTTATGGACTGTACTTCATGAGGGGGGACTTGTTTGTTGGGAGGTGCTAGTTAGCTAAGCCTAATTTCTTCCTCAGTTACCCCCTATGCACATCTGCAGGTTAACACATCCTTCGTTAATGTAGATAAACTTTATACGCTTTATTTACTAACCAACTAATCAAAATCAAAGCATAAAATCTAAAAATACCTAATCATATTGCAATAGGAGGCTGTATTCTTTCAATTAAACTCTGTGTTAAACAAGACTCAGCTACTGTGTATAAATTAAAACATGTCCGATAACATCAAATTGCACCTTTAAGCCTGATATTGCAAACAAAGACAAATAGATTTGTATTTCTGTAATAAATGTTATAGAAAGAATCGCTTTTTCAATGCGACTCCAGCAATGTAACCGATACACAACTTTCCATCAATGTAGATGGAAAATATCAACTTCTGTGTTTTTGTCAAGATTTCCATGTTTGTATGTTTTGTCTTCTTTTGTTGTTATCTTTATAAGTAAGAAAATATTTGATTATTGTTGTTTTTCTTAGAATTGGATTTGGTAAACTCAAAACGTATTTCAATGGGAAGACTTTCAGAATATAATTATTCATTTAGATATCTTATATAAAACAGCGAATTGAATGGCCGCTATTTCTAATGGATTAAACTTTTTTCTGTTCTAAAACCAAAACCAAAAACATGTCTTCAATTCCAAAAAAAGTAAAAAAACAAACCAATGGATTTTGTTTTCAAGTTTGAAGATATTTCGTTTCCCATCCAGGAAGGTTTTTCAATTCAAAATGTCAGGAATAGCGTTGAGGAGCGTATGTCTTTGAAAAGGGGTCGTTAAAGGGAATTGTTGGCCTGACTGAGTAGGCGAGGTATTCTGTTCTCCTGTGGGGTTGCGATGATAGCGGGAAGGGATAAACCTGTCCTTGGTTTTCGCCTGTTAGCTGTTGGGTGTCTTTACCTGACCTTCCCTGTAGGTTTGTCTTTCTTCGTTGTGAATGAACGCTTTCATGCAAAATACAGAACAGGTTACCAAAATGTGTGTATTTCCTCCTTTGTACAACTTGCAGAGAAAACATTGAACCTCGATGCAATAAATAAGAAAACATACAAAACTGTGTCGAGTTCGTTCACGCGTCACCATCCTTCTGTCCAGAAATGATCACATTTGACCAACATCTGTGAGGCGCTTAAATACTATCAGACTACTGGTCTCCAGTTATATATATTGACACATTTACAGAAACATACGGAACCGAGTACGTTAGCTTTTACATTTGTCTACAAGGATTTCATTATGGATCCTGACATTTTACGGTACAGAGATGGAACAACTGAGGTAAGGAAATTGGAAAAAGCTGGTTGGATGGTATTTAGAGTCCACATTGATGTCAGTGTAACCTCGAAGGTGGCTTTATAAAAACAAGACTTTTGTGCAGCTGAGGTTTTGTGCTCAGCTTCTGTCCCGCTCACATCTCGCTGGGGCCCTTCGTCTCAGAGTTCTTTCCAAAGCTGGGCGGCGGCACCATAGCAGGGACGCACTGCGACGGCTCGCAGTAGCCGTTCCTGCCAGCGGGCCCCGGAGATCCCGGAACGCCATTGATTCCAAGAACGCCGCGCGGTCCCCGCTCTCCATCACGGCCGTTCACACCATAGGCGGCTCGCCCGGGTTCACCTGCAGACAGAGAGAGAGCAAAGGTTAGAGGTTAGACGCTTTTCTTTCTCACCTGTTGGCCTCCATCCCCTGCTACTGTTTTTTTTTTCCTTTCTAGGTTCATCACCGTAAGTTTTCTTAGTTCAAACTTTGGTTCAAAAGAAAGTTTTCACGCCCCTCTGACCAATCTTTTCAATAGTTGAGAAAAGGAAAGTCCGCTGCAGTAAAAAACATCAAATAAAATAAACAATAAAGATTTTTTGACACGCTTCTCCATCAAATAAAGAAATTGAAAGAAAAGTGTATTAAATATACGTCGTCTGTTCCCAGCATTTTACCAATAATGAGATTTCCCTCATGGTGTCAGGACTTCTGTTTTTGTGTCTGTGTGTTTGTCTCCCTTCATCCACCAGGAGGCGCCTGGTTCTGATCCACCTCCTCACACATCTGCTGGTGGTTTCGTCGTTAAACGGTGTGTTCTTAAGCTGTTGACTGCCACTACTTCGACGCCAGAGTGTTTGCCAGTTTATGGTACTCTAGCCAAGCTGAGTTTGCTGAGTCAAGCTGAGTTTTTGTCAACCTGAGTTTAACTTTGTTTGTCTTTGCCTCTTGGCAGGAAGTTATCCTGCTAACTGGATCTCTCGGACCTTCTCTCCCTGGAAGGATCAACTGAGCTTCAAACTGAGCTGGGGTTCAAACAGGAGGTTTGGACCCACTTTCCCCAAGAGATCGTTTGAGCTTCTCACTGAGAAAGGGATTATTCTCCACTACGACCCGTTCAAGTACCGCAGGAAATCTGAGCGGCAGTCAGTTTTTCCGTTCTCCAACCATCAACCGCATTCTGGGTAAACCCTGTTCCGCCCTCCACCGAATCAGACAAACACTGGAACCACGGCACACAGACAGGAGTCAAGGTTGCAACAACTTCTTTGGAAACATGAGTCGGCAACCAAAACCTCTTCTCCAAGTTTCACGAGTCAAATTCCCCACTGAGCCTGAACTAACCGCTGTGTCTTTACCCTCACTTTACAGTTACGGTTGAGCAGTGTTCAGAGCAACACTTCTTCCCCTGTTTTACTTTTTCAATAAAACCCGTTAAACCTTTTCCCTGGTCTCTCTGTTCGGTTATCTGCATTTTTGGGTCAGTACTTTGTAACATCATGACACATGGAATAAATTTACTCAAATTAAAGGTTTAAAGCTTTCATCAGATGCTTTTTTTCAGCAAAGTCCATTTATTTCTGACAAACGACAGCTGGAAGCGTAAACGGATAACATGTTAACTTACAAAGTAAAGAAATAAATATCAAATTAATTATTTATACACTGTTGACATCAAAACGGTCAAAAGTTTAATGACATCAACCTTAAAGGCTCACAGTAACAATTTATTCTTCTATAGAAATATCAAAAACCATTTGACCCTGATAAAATAAGGTTATATTCACCATGATAGTGTTTACCGAGATGGGGTGCTTTTTGAGTCTAAATAGATTTCAAGCGACAGGCGCAATCAGCAGACATGGCGCCATCTGCTGATATTTCTGAAAACTAACAGAAAGCTACAAAATAGATCCCATCTATCCTGCAAAAACTCAAACAGGGACACAGCATCAAGGTAAAAATCAATCACCATCATCTGCTTTCACTAGTGTCAGTATTTATAAGGATGTTTTCTCATGCATCAAACTGAGCATTTCTATATCTGAATGCCTCTGCAGCTTCAGTTCCAGCTTCAGTTAACACCAACGTTCAGACTGTTTTCCAAGCTCTGATCCCAACTGATCCCTCTTTCAATCATATTTCTTTGTGCTTTTTTCACCCTGGATCTTGGGCTTTTCTTCAATATTTTCAAGCAATGCTTGGAGTTGCAAAATGGCTAAGCTATGCTCTTGTTTACCTCCTGCAAGCATGCACAGTATCTGACTTCATGTGCTGTTGTAAATATACATAAAGGGCTTTATTCATGAACAAACTGAGCAAAATCAAGGTGTAAACGCAAAAATATCAAATAATATGGCAGCAGGATGCCGTAAAATTCCATGCAACCAGAGTGAGTTACTAGTGCTTAAATTATAAGGTGACAATGAACCTTTAAATATTAAAAAGTGTTGGTATCTCGATCCTGGCCCTGAAGTCCCAGTAGGATGAAATAAAAATGATGTCTAGCTAACAGGCGCAAAAGTGTAAAACAATCATTGTGTATTTACCCAGACCCCGGAATAACAAAATAACGGATATCTCAGCCAAACATATTATATTAAACGTTAAAAAAAATTATAATAATTAATGTTCATTGAATTATACTTGAATTAAATCCACTCATGTCACAAAGTTATGCTTTATATTTACCTGGTAGTCCAGGAACGCCAGGTTCCCCTTTGGGTCCCCTCACTGTGGGCCCCCTGTCACCTCTGTCCCCTTGGTCGCCTACAGGAAGAACATAATCAACATCAGTGAAGCTACCAGATGGTCCTCTTAAAAAACAATGTTAACATCATCTGTAAAGTAACAGATTTCAAGAGTGAAGGAGGAAAAATCTCATTTTTAAAGTATAGGAGGATTCCTCTCAATGGTTTCTTAGGTTGGGTATTTCAGCGAACTCTAGAGGGCAGTAATGAACCAATTCATGTATCAATGGCACCTCCAGAAATGTTTTATTGGGGTGGCCAGAGAGGAGAGGAGAGGAAAGGAGAGGAGAGGAGAGGAGAGGAGAGGAGAGGAGAGGAGAGGAGAGGAGAGGAGAGGAGAGGAGAGGAGAGGAGAGGAGAGGAGAGGAGAGGAGAGGAGAGGAGAGGAGAGGAGAGGAGAGGAGAGGAGTAAACATTTGTTGAATTCAGCTTTATTGGTCATAATCCCCCCTGATAAAAGGAAATATTCATCTCTTGCTTCTTCGTCTCGTTCAGGTTTGTTTCTGCAGACGCAGCCTCTGATTGGTTCTTTGCTGCACATTGTTTAAACTCTGTAGCCTTGTTTTGTTGTGACTCTGCAGCAAATTCTCATTTCATGGCCCTCATCATTAGCTGCCACCACTCTGCTTATCTCTCCACCTTTTTTGTTGCTGATAATCAGAGACAGGTTTGTGTGGATCATGAGAAACCTCCTCTGTTACTGAAGCTCTCACTCTTGTTGGTGAATTTAGATTCTTGACTAAAAGAGGGAGATTCATAAAGGGAGTTTCGCACCTTTCGGTCCTTTGAGTCCGATTAACCCAGGTGGACCCTTCAAACCAGGGAGACCTCTTGACCCGGTGTGGCCTGGAAATCCATTCTCTCCGGGAGAGCCTGGAGGTCCAGGTGGGCCAGGAGGGCCGGGGAGCCCGGCCACGCCGGATTCTGGTCTGCTCAGGCTGGCCGCCAACTGGGCCAGCTGCTCTGTGACACCAACGCATCGATTATATGAAGTCACTTCATTACATCATAGAAATGACATCAGAATGCAGAAAACATCTCGATAGGAAGCAGTCAGTGGCTTGAAGCCTGAAGATGATAAACTCTTACCTTGCATGACTCTCATGCAGACCTGTTTGATGTGTCTGTCCGTCGGGGCTTTGCCCTGAACAACAAACATGGTTCAAGAGTAAAAATCATGGGAGTAACAACAAAAAAGACTGCTGAGGAAATTAGAGCAGCAGCAGATTTATAGAACTCGTGTATCCAGATATACTAATGATGATGTCAGACAGCTCGGCATCATGGGAGGAGAGAACGACTGGTAAACAGAAGGACTGGCAGTGGAGACCTGGGAATCAGGAACGGTAGTTCACTTGTTCTTTATCACGTTAGAGGGGTTTAAACACCAAGTTCATGTAGGTTTAAGTTAATACTTTGACTAGGCCACTTGTTATTAACAGGTTAAATCCTGTGGTATCTCAGGTTCGAATCGATCAACCTCCATGGCTCCTTCTTCTTCTACCTGTCCCGGTTTAATCCATCATCCTGTCATCCTTTAAGGATACATCCCTAAATTCATTCTCATGTAGCTTCAAACTCCACATTTTATCAAGCAGTCTGGATTAAATTTAAAGATGAATTAATTTCTCCAGTAAAAAAGGGATAAAATGAGACAATCATTAGCTACGTTGTAAATCTGTGTTTGATCAGAAGTATAAAAATCTCTGTTTATATGGACACTAAATAAAATGATCCGATCATGACGTGTTTATATATCAAGCGACATTTTGATCAGATTATATCATTGATCATGTCTTGGTTTCCAGAAACATTTTAGTAGTAGAAGAAGAAGCTGCCTGTGTTGTAAACAAACCAATGCTTTTCCACTCTTCCTCAACTTTCGCTACTTTTTTGTTTTTCCTTCCTATTTTCTAAGCCCAAACAAAGCAAAGCTTCCTGGATGGGAAAATTCAAAATCTGTAAAAAATAAAAAAAACAGCAAAGTTACTTAAAACTTATTTTTGATTGTAAAGTTTTAAAAGCTTAATTTCCGTATTTTTTTTTTTAGCCTTGTTTTGTTGTGACTCTGCTGCTGTATTTGGAGTCCACATTGTGATCTCATGGCCCCCATCATTAGCTGCCACCACTCTGCTTATGCTGTTTATATGGACACTAAATAAAATTATCCGATCATGATGTGTTTATATATAAAGCAACATTTTGATCAGATTAAATCATTGGTTTCCAGAAACATTTTAGTAGCAGAAGAAGAAGCTGCCAGTTTTGTAAACAAACCAATGCTTTTCCACTCCTCTTCAACTTTCGCTACTCTTTTGTTTGTTTTTTAGTTTCTATTTACAAAACATTTTCTTTGCAACAATACTGTAGGAAAATTGACTCCACATGCAATAAAATATTGCTTTTTGAGAATGAATAGCCTACTTCATGCTGCCCAAAGGGTTCTAAATATGTGATCTCTCTATTCTACAGGTCTCTACAAATCATGAGCCTGGGTTTTAGCTTTATGTTTTAGGGAATGCTAACACCTAGGCTGGGTTGTATTTGATCAAAACTTTTTTTTATTCACTAAGGTTATATTTGTTTATCATAAAAAAGTATTTCACGACTTTTAAGAGACACAAACTGGTTGAAATCAGAAGAAATGTAATCTGGGACTTACGGCACTCAGATGAGCGTCTATGTTTCCCTAAGTCTCCACATTTGCAGCAATCCTTTTTACCCTCTGGATACACATAAAAAGGTTTTACACAATTCAACCCAACAGCTGTTGTCTCACCGCTGGACCCTGGTGCCCAGGTAGGCCCGGTACCCCTGTATCTCCCTGCATGCCTCGTGGTCCTGCCTGACCCGGCTTGCCCTCTTTGCCTGGCGGCCCACGGCCCCCCTCAGCTCCTTTGTTTCCCGTCTCTCCTGGTGGTCCTTGCTGCAGTTTAACACAAAGCATAGAGAAACAGATTTAAACTCCACCCCAATAAACATGACAATCAGAGTCCTGTAGGTGATCAGATGAGCTCTGGACTTTATCTTCCCGAGTCTAAAAACACATCTGCTTTGTTTGCCCCGTCCAGTAAATGTTAAAATAGTCCTAAACTATGAAGAAAAGCAGCATAAACCATCTGATTATACTGTAAGAAACTAACTGCAGCCTTTTCCAGTATTTTCTGACCGTTTCATCCTTTCCAGTACCTTCGACTTTGCTGACTGACTACATCCTCTAACAGGGGGATAAATGGCTATTTTATTCTCTTTTATAAATAAAGGGCAAAGTAATTTTTTTCAGATTAAATACATATATTTTAATGACTTATAATGATCAAATTCTTCATTTAAATTTATTTTTAGTTGTTTAATAATTTAATATTTGAATGCATTTTAAAATAAATTAATGTTCATGATACATTTATCTATTTCATGACATATTTGGGGCGTCTATAAAGCTCGGCGACCACATTATGATGTCTGCCGACCCTCCAAGGGCTCCCAACCCTCTAACAGCCACTGGTTTACATACCGATCCTTTCTCTCCTGGTTCTCCTTGATCGCCCTGAAAAGAAAACAAAGAGCAGCCATTAATATTTCATGTTCAGATGAGCTGTGGAGGAATTTATGATCTACTAGCAGATGTTCTTTCTGTTATGATCTCAGCAAACTTGGATTGTTTCTCTCTGAGGTAGTTAGATCTGGAACCAGCTTCTCGTTTGCTTCCTGACTAACTGGTCGGGGTTTCAGTCTAGAAAGGCCTCTAACAGAGGCTCTAGTGTCACTCACCACTTCGCCTTTATCTCCGGGGGTTCCTTCAGCGCCTGCAGGTCCCTGAAGTAAAGATAAAAAGGTAATTTATTATAACCAGCTGATGATTGATTGATAACTGGACCAATAAAACAAGCTTCAAGAACTGAAGCAAAAATAAGCAAAAATAAAAAAAAAAGTGTTTGTTATCAATTCAAGCAGGTTATTAAGATAATCACCAATATAATGATTGTTTTCATCATCAAAATCAGGTAATTATATATTATACACTGGAAATAAGATAACTAAGTTATTTTTCCTTATTTTAAACATACATCCTCTTATTCCATTGGCAGATTGTCTTACCTGCTTGAATCAAAATTAAATACAATCATTACAAAGGAAATTTAAATTTCATTTCGTAAGAAATACCTGGTCTCCTTTAGGGCCAGTGAGTCCAACAGAACCCTGAAGGACGGAAGGACAAACAGATCTGGGTCAGTTTGAAAAGAGCAAAGAGACTGGGTGTTTTTAACCTGCTCAGCTTCCATCAGTAAAGGTGCATTCCACTAAAAAGCATAAGGACACATAGTCTTTAGGGTTATTTAACTATTCAGAGTGCTATTTTTGGATGAGTTCACTTAGCCAGGTCCACCATACAACAGTGCTTCTCTGTAACCATAACAGTCAAGATTGTAAATGTGACAAAGCAATGTTTTTTGATTCCCTGTCTTGAAAGAGATGTTCATATAAAATTTTAGCAACTGGCTCAGCAAGAGCTTTTTTAAATTAAAGGTAAATTAAAGGTCTTGCATCATTTTATATATATATATATATATATATATATATATATATATATATATATATATATATATATATATATATATATATATTATTTTATTTATTTATTATTTCTTTTATTTCTATGTATTTCTTTTTTAATGCTTTTTTAAATGCTTTTTTTGTAGCACTTTAAGGCCTTTTTGGTGAAAAGTGTAGTATAAATTAAATGAATTATTATTATTATTATTGTTATCACATCTGTTGTTATCAGGTTGTTTCTAAACGTTTTCCTCTGCCTTTGAAATCAGGCGCTAAATGCTCCTCTGCTGACTGATACGTAGATTAGCGTGGCTGGCCAGGCTTTTATATGCCAGTGTCTCCTTCCTTTCCTTTAAGTGGCTGTGGCAGAGGAAATAATCCCACTAAGAGAGAATCTTCTTTCTTAAAATGCATAATTTCCTTTAATTGCACTGGAAAAATGATCTAGAAATAAGTAAAAAAAAAAATGTCTTAAATGAAGTGTATTTACCCTTATTTTGAGTAGGTAAATGAGATGATTTGCAAATGGAATGGAGTATTTTTACTCTTAAAATAAGATCATTAGATAATATGCACTTGAAATAAGACAATGCAGTTGTGTTTTCTTACTTTAAGTGTAAATTGTCTTGTTCCATTGACAAAATGTCTCTTTTACCTTCTCAATTCAAGAACAAATGCACTTATTTTAAGAAAAAAATGACTTATCTAGATTTATTTATTTTCCCCAGTGTGTTCACTGCAAAAACGATATAAAAATAAGTCAAATTTTCTTAAATTAAGTGTATTCACCCTTAATTTGAGCAGGTAAATGGGATAGTTTGCCAATGGAATGAGTATTTTACTCTTAAAATAAGATAAATGGATAAAATGCACTAGAAATAAGACAATGCAATTGTGTTTTCTTATTTTAAGTGTAAATTGTCTTGTTCCATTGCCAAAATGTCTCTTTTACCTTCTCAATTCAAGAACCAATGCACTTATTATAAGAAAAAAACGACTTATCTAGATTTAGATTTTTTCCAGGGGATTAAGCATAAATGAACAGATGAGAAGTAAAAAAAAAACAACAAAAAAAAAACTCCAGGACATGTCGCTGCAGTAGGCGTGCAAATTAAATCAAGAGTTACTAGCATTGTGGTGCAATGCAACAAACTTCACCAGTGCTTCCATATGGTGAGAAATTGGTGCTAATTTTAATATTTCTGCTTTGTTGACTTTTCCTCAGCAGATCTGGGTTTGACTTTATGGATAGAAGACGGATTATCTCAGTAGTTCTGATCTGATCTGGGATTAACGCGAGGTTCTTACCCGGTCCCCCTTTTGGCCTCGATAACCAGCCGGACCAGGAAGCCCTGGAAAGCCTGGGTCCCCTTTGCTTCCCTGTGAAACACATCCACACATATAAACATGAGCTGAGACAGAGAATATTGATGCACATTCAGCAGACACACAGAAACTAGTCTGTTTTAAGCCTCAGAGTATATGCCACCCCCCCCCCCCCCCCCCAAAACACACACAGAAAAAGTATATATAAAAACATTCCAGCTTGAAATCATGTGAGCCACCGTCTGCTCCTCCATCTCTGGGTGGCGGTGGGTATGTGGGCATTGCTGGAGAACAGAGATTTCTTTGAGAGTCTCTCAGCTTCTGTTCCTGTCCTGAATCCTCTCTGAGCTTCAGAAAAAAACACCTGCAACAAACGGCCTTTCATTCCTGCTCACGGGGTGGATTACAGACTTAGCTAAACACACAAAAATGAGATATAAGTAAGTCAACTTTTCTTAAAATAAGCAGATTTTTCCTTGCTTTGAGCTGCTTAGTAAGACAATTTACCAATAAGATGATTTATGTTTAAAATAAGAAAAAAACTTTGTGAAGATCGGTTTTTGCAGTGCAAGCAGAATACAAAGCTCTGCTTTACAGAAAAGTGTCTGAGGAAGATTTAAATCCTCAGTTGGTCAGTTTTATTTATGTTGAATGATAAACACAGGACGATAAACGATAAACATGCACGTGTTCTGCTGACTGAAGGTTGGTGGTTCTGATCTCTCTTTGCTGACAGAACCAACCTGAGCTCAGGGGAGACGGTTTGAAGCTTCTAGGGGTCGGATCATTCTCTCTGATTTTTGTCCTCTGGCTTTAAAAGCAAGTTTTTACTTCATTTTGTCTGAATCTTTTCTCGACATATTAGGATTCTGTTGTTTTACTTTCAGAATTAACTCTTTTTAGAGCAATATTTTTTACTGAACTAAGCATATTTTCCTGTTTTAAGCTGTTTAGTAAGACAACTTACAACTCAACTCACCTCAGTTCAACCTTTATTTATAAAGCACATTTAAAACAACCAGATATCACAGTTGCAGGAAATAGGGTAAAAACTTAAAAGCTAAGATTCATAAACACAATGCAATAAAATACAATGAATATAATAAAATAGAATAAAATAAGTTAAAATGTAAATAAAAATGTAACGAAATCTTTCTTTGCCACAGAGGAAGTATGTTTTTAAGGAGGATTTAAAAACCTTAAGATCCTGCAGATCAGGTCTTGTATCAGGTTTGTTCCAACTGAAATAAAAATATTTTATATTTTGAAAAAGAAAGAAAAACTTATATAATTTTATATCAATTCTATAATATTATTATTATTTTTTTTGATGGATGAAATATACTGATCCCTTTGGCTTATTTACTTGCTAAAATTAAGAACAAAGACACTTATTTTAGAAAAGTTTTTGTTATTTCTAGATCAGTGTTTGCAGTGAAACCTAACATGGCTGATGAGTTAAATACTGGATTTTTGTTCTTAATCGTGTCCTGTTGGTTTATAAAACCAAATACAAGTCCTTTAAACACCATCCAGTGTTCCCATTACATTGTATCCTTAAAAATAAATAAATGTTCATGCATAAATTGCCTGTCAGCAGAATATTTAGACATTTTAGTGGATTTTGAAGCTCTGCAGGGTTTTATTCTAGATTCATCCCTCTTTGAAAAGAAAAAAGTCTCTCATCTATATGTATGTAAATACATCTCTCAGTTGTTTACATTGCAATAAAATGACTCAATCCATTTAATGTTCTGCACAGAAAGGGAACAAATATTGTGATCTAATAGTGGGTGAAATGTGAAAAATTCTTTAATGACTTAGTTCCTCAAGGACATTCATATATGGTCAGGGAAATAAAATGTGATTAATATTTCAGAAATATCACCAGACTTTTTTTTTTTTTTTTTTTTTTACCTTTCAGGAATTTATGGGTTTAAAGATAATTTAATGTTTTTTTTTTCCTGCTTGTCAGATCTTACCCTGGCTCCTGGTATCCCAGGAGGTCCATTAGGTCCTGTCTCTCCACGTTCACCCTGCAATAAGAAAGAGCGTTATGCAACACAGTATCATCCACAAATCAATTAAATGACATCAAACTATTTGATTGCCATTGCCGTATTAAAATATAAAAATAAATCGGCATTTCAAAAACATGTGCAAAGTTGTTGATATGAGCAAAGCTGATCTACGAAGCGAATGCCAAGCATGAGTAACATGAGTGGGGACAGTGATTGGCCTACATGTTCTGAATGCTGGCGTACCTTAAAGAATAAATGATGAACAGATCAGTTTGTGCCTTCAAGTCGTTACCCATAGGAAGACTTTATTTGGATATAACCTAACGGAATATCTTCAGAACGGCTCCAAATGACACAAAACTCATATGGGTGAGTAGAACATGATGTAATAACGTAAAATCAAGGGGCCAATGTAAAAAAAAACGTTTCCCTTTAACCTGAGCTTTTTGCTTCTCTCTCTAGTATGTTAAATGTCAGTTACAAACTTGCGCACAAAGATTTTTTTGAGGCCATGTTACGTTCAAAATTGTAGGTTCGTAATAAATAAACCGAGTCTGCACAGAATAGGGATTTTTTGCTCCTGCAGGATGAGAGAGCCACGTTCAGCTACATCTGCTCTCTAGTGGGTTTCCTCAGCAGAAGCCTTTTTATTAGCAGATCATAACACATGGGGTGGGTTACAGAACAGTGTTCTTCTGACAAGGCAATTGATCAGGTCATAGGACAAAATGCTCTTTCTGATTGAATCACAGAATAGAGTAGTCTCCCGATAACTGTGATTATCCTTGCACAAACATCAGCAGTTTTCTATTAAAGTTGCATGACAGTTTGCAGTAAACAGAGTTAAGCATCTCATTTAATTAAAATTCCATATGCACATACATTAATTTTATAATCATCATCGAATAAACCTGACAGGCCACAAATGATGCATTCATACAGTGAGATGTAGAGTGAGTCTGTGTGCATGTGAAAAAATTCAGATAAAATAAGTGGAAAAAAAAAAGATGATTGGTCAGTTAGAGCAAAAGCATTAAAAACCTTCAAAAGTCGTCTTTTTATGACTGATATGTCCTCTTATAAATGTAGTTATAATTGTTAGTTACATATTTTTCTTTTCATTCTTTTATTGTGGCACTTTCAGATGCAGGTGGGATATATGCAGTGTGAGATATATCCCACACTGCTTTGTGAGAATCGTTTAGGGGCCAGTTTGGGTTTGGGTCTTGATCTGTTTTTTGCTCATTTTAGTTATTTTTAAGAATAGAGTTTTAAAGTTATTTTATATCATTTAAAGTGATGCAGTGGGTAGCACTGCTGCCTTGCAGCAAGAAGGTTCTGGGTTCGACTCCCGGCCCGGGTTCTTCCTGCATGGAGTTTGCATGTTCTCCCTGAGCATGTGTGGGTTCCCTCTGGGTACTCTGGCTTCCTCCCACAGTCCAAAAACATGACTGTTAGGTTAATTGGCTTCTCTATAGTCCCGTTAGGTGTGAGTGTGTGTGTAAATGGTTGTCTGTCTCTGTGTTGCCCTGCGATGGCGACCTGTCCAGGGTGGACCTCGCCCATTGACTGCTGGAGCACCAGCACCCTTCGCATAAGCGTGCTAGAAAATGGATGGGTGGACTCATGTAAAAGTTCTTTGGGTGTTTTCTTTTTATTTCTTTTGCTGCTGATTTGACATTTCTAAAGTAGGCAGCTGCAACAAATAGAAGAACATGAAATCACAAATAAAAATAATAATTTCATAGAAGAAGGATGGTGGGTGGATGGGAGGATGTGGTTTCTGCATGAAATCTGACCTCACAGGCTTTTCATACGCACACCATCTTCACCAGATTCTTTAATATGTATGTTTTTGTGATTTGATGTGATCTTTTCCATTAAATACACTTCATGCACAATAGCTAGCCACTCTTTCGTTGTTCCAATTTTCAGCCATTTTAATACTGGCTGTACTTTCTACTTTTACTTTAGTAAAAGTACATATAAGACTCACATTTCCTCCTCTGGGCCCAGCCGGTCCAACTTCCCCCTGGTCTCCTCGCTCCCCCTGGAAGTAAATAAGACCTCTATTGAGAAGATTCCTACATTTGTTTCAGTTGAAATCTTTACCTCAACAGTTTAAAAAGGTTTGTACTGAAGAGGATTAGGGCCACTGAAAAAAAAGGAAAAAGTTAACTGATTTTTTTATTTTTATTTTTTTTCTTTCAGTATAATATGAGAAAAAAAACAGAATTCTGACTTTTTTTTCCTCAAAATTCTGACTTCAATCTATCTAATCTAAACTAGCTCTCTTGTTTTAATCACCTTCTGCTCTTCCAATAATGAAATAGCGTCACCAGGGACCCCTCAGGCACTTAAGAAGTCGCCTAAATCCATTATTTCCCACCAATGTGTCACTGTCACCTTGTCGGTGAAGCTGAATGCTCCCACATGTCTTCCTTCATGGTGCCCATCTACATTAAGATCCAAATTCTGAGATTAAAGTCAGAATTCTGAGAAAAAAGTCAGAATTTTGACTTTTTTCCCATATTAAACTGAAATAATATTTAAAAATCAGTTATCCTTTTATTATTTTTTGCCCTAATCCTCTTCCATAGGTTTGATACGACACTTTAGACAAGTTTGATTTTTCTTAAACTTACTTGTTTTCCTGGAGACCCCATCAGTCCCACGACTCCTCTGTCCCCTGTGCTTCCCTGTTAAATAAAGAGATATAAAGATGATTTTACTCATTTCAGCCTGTCAACATTCAGACATCTTATCAAGTGTGTCTATAAGAACAATTAATCTGCATGCTTTAATCATACCTTTGCACCGCTGTGTCCTTTCTGGCCATATGAACCGGGTAAACCCTACATGAACAAAACCATGATTAAGACTATAGTCTGAAAAAAGGAAGGCAAAAGGTGGAAAACAGTCAGCAAACAATCACTCACAGAAAGTCCCTGTGGGCCTGCATCACCTGGAGCTCCGCTTTTACCTGGAGGACCCTGAAGGTCATTAAAAAAAAGGAAACAAAGGAATGATTTGCTTTGCTTTAAAGCGGGGGGCACAGAAAAGCATTGTATGTTAACCTGAATTTATGAAGTAAAGTATGATTTTTTTTATTTATTGCCTGAATCCACAATGCATACGTATAGTTTTACCATAAAGACATTAATTAGAGGCACAGGCGTTAGGCGGTGAATAAGTGATTTAAACTGTATTTCAGAGAAAACAAAGAGACTAGAATAAACAGTTTTTTCATTATATTTCTATCCTGCTTTACATATCAGGTCAGAATCATCAGCATCTGTGTGAATTTGTTATTATTTGTTAGAACTATTGCTGCTTTCACATCAAACTCTCCAAAAGCATTCAAGATTTGTCTCTTTTGCTGTTTTGAAAAGTCTCAAAATAAAGTGACAACTTTGCTGAGATGGCAACACCCAACACCAGTTTTCCTTCACTAAGAAGAGCAGAGCAGCTCACACCAGTTGCTTCATAACTGTTAGCCACTGTTATCAATTTTTTAAATGTTATATCATATGAATAATGTATGCTTTACATTATTTCTAAGTTATTTTATTCATTTTGATGGTGTTGCGGCTTTTATTTAGCTGTGGCAGTGCACCACGAACAATTACCTGCAGCAGAAATGTAATTAGCAACCTTCATTTTATTTTGTTTATTCATTCTGAAAGGCATAACCAGAACAATATTTTACAAATAAGAATAAGAAATACTGTCCCACGTCCTTCCTGTTCTTTACACTGGAAAAAATCAAAGTCTAGATAAGTCATTTTTTCTTAAAATAAGTGCATTTCTTCTTGAATTGAGGAGGTAAGTGAGACACTTTGCCAATGGAACAAGACAATTTACATTTAAAATAAGAAAAAAAAACTATTTAATTGTCTCATTTCAAGTGTATACTATCGAATTTCCTTATTTTAAGGGTAAAAATCATCATTCCATTGGCAAATCATCTTATGTACCTACTCAAATCAAGGGTAAATACACTTAATTTAAGACATTTGGACTTATTTCTAGATCGTTTTTTCAGTGTAAGGCACTTGCAGTTACCCTACTAAAACAATCCAAAAACAAGCAAAATTTCCTTGAATTAAGTTAATTTACCCTTAATTTGAGTAGGTACATAAGATGATTTGCCAATGGAAGGAGATTTTTTAGCCGTAAAATAAAATAACTAGATAATATGCACTGTAAATGAGACAATACAATTGATTTTTTTCTTTTTTTTAAATATAAATGGTCTGCTCCATTGGCAAATTGACTCACCTCCTCAATTCCATAAAATATGACATATTTCGATTCTAATTTTTGCAGTGTACTTACACACTGCAAAATATTTAAATCTAGATAAGTAATTTTTTCGTAAAATCAGTGCATTTCTTCTTGAATTGAGTAGGTAAAAAGATACATTTTGCCAATGGAGCAAGACAATTTACATTTAAAATAAGAAAACACAGTTGAATTCTCTTATTTCAAGTGCATATTATCTAATTATCTTATTTTAAGGGTAAAAATACTCATTCAATTGGCAAACTATCTAATTCACCTACTCAAATTAAGAGTAAATACATTTAATTTAAGAAATTTGTACTTATTTCTAGCTCGTTTTTGCAATGCATTACTTGTTATATAAATGCATTAATTCATAACAATGACCTGTAATCATGCGTTATCATATCACTATGTAAACATATACCAACAGTCTTCATCTACATAATCTGTGACCAAAACCTTTTTTTATATTGTTTTAAATTATTAAACTCTTTGTCTTTTTCAAGTTATTCCATATTTTTACATCACAGAAGGACAAACAGAATGTCCTTGGTGGTTCTGACAATTTCTATATTAAATGTGAAGCCCTCCTCAGCTTGTTGGCATGCTGTTGGCCGGTAAAAGATTATTTTTGGTTTATTATCTGCAACCTTACCTTAGAACCAGGCAACCCAGGTATTCCTTCACGACCATCTGGACCAGGGAGGCCCTGTCAACAAGAGAGGAGACCATGAGTTGCAGCCGTAGATTTAATAACCATCAACTTTTCAGCCCAGGATCCCAAAATTAACCCTGAATGACCTAGGCTGTGGGTGGTGGTAATTAGGGTAGCCAACTCCCTAAAAAAAAAGGGACATCCCATGTGTGTGCCAGCTGACCTGATTGCCTTTACCCCTCCTGGCGTGGTGATTTTTTTTCTTAGCCCCCCTTTGTGTGTGAAATGAGTTTTTATCTATTTGACTCAAATCTGCGTTGAAGTACATGCACATTTGCATTGTGATTTATATTCATTATTATGGACTTTTTCCACCCATCTTTTGTTTTTTTCCCATTCCTCCCTATATTTCTGCATCTTTTTTTTCGAAAGAGCAGCATCACTATGCGAAGGTGCACCGCCCCCAAAAGCAGCGTCAGCATTTTAATTACCCCGTTCATCCCCCATACTGCAGAGATGGGAAATACTGTACTCAAGTAGATTTTTCTGATATTTTTCCTTTACTTCACTACTTATTTTTACGGCAACTTTTTACTTCTACTCCTTACATTTTTACACTAATATCTGTACTTTCTACTCCTTACATTTAAAAAAATCGTCTCGTTACTTTAGTTTTGAATCATTTCAATGGAGTTACCGTTATTATTTTTCACGTCATCAATACCAAATTCAATCTAATTGGATGGGAATCTACGTTGCATTTGACGCACCACTACATGATGAATCGACAGATTCGGCGGTATTCATTCGTGGCAAATCATTGCAGCTTGGTGGCGGTGGCGTTAGCATAGTAGTATGGACGACGAGATGATTGAAAATGAACACAACGGAGATCTAGTCCTATTGGCAGACATCCATTTAAAATGTAGGCAACGGCATGAAAAAAGTGGTTTCTACTTTTACTTTTATACTTTAAGTACATTTACAAGCCTGTACTTTGTTACTTTTACTTGAGTAAAGAAGTTTAATCAGTACTTCTACTTTTACCAGAGTATTTTTTAACACAAGTATCTGTACTTTTACTCAAGTTCGGAAAGTGAGTACTTTTGCCATCTCTGCCATACTGCTCTGTTGTCTCCCGCTTTCTTCTCTGTGAGCAACACTTGGCTCAACCAATGAGATGAGGGGATTCTGGATTATTATATATATGTTGTCAGTGCATTGGTCACAACGCAGGACAGGTTTACCGCAAGTGTTGTATCTAACATGCCCCTGTTCTTCATATTCCATTAGCTTTTTACTGACTAATTTTTTTACTCTCACAGTAATACGAGACAAAGTGCGTTCCTTTTCCACTAAATACATGACAAGTACTTCTACTTCTAAATACGGAACGATTCCGTTTTTCAAAGGACGGTTGGCAACCCTAGTGGTTATGCACCTAAAGCTGTTGAAGATGGGACTGTCAACCACAGCAAGGTGATTTGTAATTATCATACAAAAATTTATTGTCTCATCACCGAAGCTGCTCAGCTTTATGTTTTATTAAAAGACAAACATGTCAGGGGATGTTACAGCTGCTTATGCTACTGTTAGCTTACTTCACCAAATCATGCTTGCTGAATGAGGTAAACGACTGAGCAAATCCACCACAGAAAGGCTGATTACTCATGCACTAAAATGTTGTAATGTCCCAGAGTTCAAATTCTTTGGTTGGGTACCTTTAGCACAGCGATTGGTAACCTCGACCTTCATCCTGCAAGCAGTGTTGTGCCTGAACGCGTTCATTGAATGAAAGTTCATGAGCTCGTTCATATTTTGGGCGAACGTGAACTGAACGTACTGCATTACTCCCTGATGAATGTTATTGTGAACTCGTTCACTCTGGTGTCTGTGAACGGCACGCTCTCTCAGTTCAGCTCCGTTCAATAGGTTGACAGATTTCTATAGAGCCCTCCAGGTGAAACCCCGGCTAAATCACACCGTAAACAGGCCTTAATATGTAGCAGGAAAAACACCCAATCTGGCAACACCAGCTACCAGCGTCGTAGCCTACAGCCGCGTGCGTCATCAAAACAAAATGCAGCGTGGAAGCCACAGCAGCGTGGAGGCGACAAAGCAGCAGTATGATCACTTAAAACAGCTTTATGACCAGGTGGTCGGTGAGGATGATGGCAACAAGTTTGCCCGCCGGCTTTCAGTAAAAAAATCCGCACTTCAGTAAAACTTAAATTCCTACCTCAGCCTGGTCCCTCAGTTTGTGTTAGTAAAATCTTCTTGAGCGGAGGTCTTCAACAGGGGATCCGCGACCCCTAGGGGGTCTACGGAGGTACTGCATGAGGGTCTGCATGGTTAGTTGATATTTTTATATTCCCCCCCTGCAATTTTTCCCCCCACTAATTGAAATGTCTTTAAATACTCATTAACATGAAATCAACACACTGTAGTAAACAGATAAATGGAGACAAAAGATGTCTTTCAGTCATCAATGCTCACATTCAGCGACACACAGGAGCTCTTTCAAGCTGGGCACCGTTTCCTTCACAACACCTGTCCCATCAACCAGGAATCAGAATCAGAAAAACTTTAATAATCCCAGGGAGAAATTAATTTCTTTACATTACTCCACCTGTAATAGAGTGACTATAGGACACAATTTCATACAATATATATAGTTAGGGGGTCCCCGCTCCATCTCGCCATCAGTTTGGGGGTCCTTGGTCTGGAAAACATAGAAGACCCCTGTTCTTGAGGGTTTTACTATCCATGTAACTTGTTTGTTAAACCTGCCTGGTATAATTTTCCAGGATTCCTTTTTAGTATGTATTGAAATGGAATTTCAAATGAAAAAAATTATTAAAATAAAAAAAAACATTTGCACCTTAAAGACTACTTTCCTATTTTTCTTTTAATAATTCCTCATAAAAAAGACCATTCAAGCAGCACATTTTTCCTGATGTTTTTGAGAATATACTGTAGGGGTGAAAGCTGCAGCTGCTACTAGTGTGAAGTGAATGGACAGCAACAAAGCGTTAAAGCAACAATGGGGAAATGCTGTCCCCTCAATGCTAATGTAAACCCTGGTTGGAGAAGGATTCAAAACTGGATATGAAGATGAAATCTGACGCACAGTTTCAGAGTTACAACTGATAAAATAATTGCTGTCTGTGGTTCTACAGTAGGCTATGGAGTAATTGAGCAATATATGAAAAAAAAAAAAAGAACTATGAACTAGTTCATTTTTTGGTTTTGAATTATGAACTATGAACTGAACTAGTTCATTTTAAAATGTGTGAACTGAACTTTGAACTAGTTCACGTAGAAAGAGAACTTTCCCAACACTGCCTGCAAGGTTACCTCATTCCTCTGCCACAACACACCTGATTCCAATCAAAAAGTCAAAGTACAGATCTTCATAGGCTGTGTGGGAGCAGGGTTGAATGGAAAACTTAAAAGACCATGGCCCCCTGAGAACCACTGTTCCCCATATGCAATTGAAATTAATTAATTACATTACATTAATTGCTCATTGGTGCAGTGGGTAGCACTGCTACACTTGCAGCAAGAAGGTTCTGGGTTTGATTCCAGGCCCGGGGTCTTTCTGCATGGAGTTTGCATGTTCTCCCTGAGCATGCGTGGGTTCTCTCCGGGTACTCCGGCTTCCTCCCACAGTCCAAAAACATGACTGTTAGGTTAATTGGCTTCTATAGATTCTCCTTAGGTGTGAGTGTGTGCGTGAATGTGTTGCCCTGCGATCGACTGGCAACCTGTCCAGGTTGTACCCTGCCTCTCGCCCGTACACAGCTGGAGATAGGCACTAGAGACTGACATTTTTTCGGGAATCCCACGGGTCACGGGATTCCCGTGGGATTCCCGTGGGATGGGAGTCAGTATTAGTAACGATCACGTGATTGAGACGGTACAGGGTTAAACATTAACGGGATGAGACGGGAGCGGGAGCAAACCAATAGTAACTAAAAAAACTAGGATCGATAATAAAATAGAAAGAAAAAACATCCAGTACTGGCGCCGCCATTTTGTAGTTTTTTTCCTTGAAGCTATAATGCGAGTCGAAAAAAACTTCACGACCCAAAAAACAACAGTGCTTCTGCTCTGAGTTTTTCACCCGCGCTCAAAAACAGTTGGAGGGACCAACAGTTACTACAGTTAGAAACAGGAACTTAACTGACCCTTCATAGAAATTCAGATTCAATGTATTGGCAGAAATCTTATTGAAGACAACAAGAATGGGAGTAGTGCAGGAGCGGGAGTCATTCTGAATGGGAGCGGGAGTAATTTCACCAGGAGTGGGACGGGACAGGATTTAGATTTCTACTCTGGCCCGGGATTTTTTTCTTTGGGAGTGGGACGGGACAGGAGTGAAAATCCACTCCCGTGTCAGTCTCTAATAGGCACCAGTACCCCTCCCGACCCCAATTGGGACAAGCGTATCAGATAATGGATGGATGGATAATTACAAATATATATATATAATTATATATATATTAGGGTTGTCACGATACTAAACTTTTCAACGTGATACCGATACTAAGGAAAATATTCGATACCATTTGTCCACACGGATAAAAACAAAGACTCCAAAATTCTACAGAAGTATTTGCATTAATAAATAAAATACAATAAACAATAAGAACAATATTTTGAAGTTGTATGCTGTGCACAATATTAAGCAAGCTTGATAAAAAACATATAAAATTAATATTAAGTGTTTCTTCCTTGGCTATGCTTTGCACACATAACAATGACGCTAGCCAAACCGGTTAAGAAACAAAAATCATTCTCAGCAGCTGGACCTGTTACAAAAAAAAACTCTGAAACTGAAAAGTGCACAGAATTATTCAATCACACAGTGTTCTGAAAGTGCATTTTCCTCTATTCTGCAATTTAGATGAATGACTGCTTAGGTGCCACTGGTGGTAGCACTGTCTCGATACTTTAAAAAACGAGTATTGTATCTGGATACAAGGTTTCAGTACTTTTGACAGCCCTAATATTTATATATATATATTTTCCGATACATTATCAAAGATGTTATACTGTGATTTCTATGATAATATTCTTCTACATAACCTCAGAAGATCTTGTTGTTCCTCCATTATGTCAAGAAAAAAATGACTGACATTTTAAGTTTGGCAGTGCAGGATCATGGTACCAGTTAAAAATGGAAAGAACAGATTAAATCTATACATTCTATTTGACTGTCAGACAAGCAATATGATGAAGTTTGACTCACAGGTTCTCCTTTTGGCCCTGGAACGCCCCTGATTCCTGGAGGGCCTCGGTCCCCCTACAAAAACACAAAAAATAGGCTCCGAAGTAAGAACTGAACTTTTAAATATTACAGTCAGCTATTAGCTTAGAGAAACTAATGAAGACAAACATGTAAATATTACTAATTTCACAACATTTACAGTTATAAAAAGCTAAGAAATCAAGGTGTGAGAGTGCGTTTGGTGAAAAATAAAGAAAAGTTTTCTAACTTATAATTCTTTCCCGCCCTCTTTTAATGGTCTCACCTGTACTCCTATCTGTCCGCTCTCTCCTGATCCTCCTCGTTGACCCGGATCCCCCTGAAAATTGCAAAAACATCCATCAGTAATATTAACGTATATTAATGTTAACCTCTAGCGTAGTTTAGGTTTCCACTCACTGGTGCTCCCAGAGCTCCCCGAGGCCCTACATCACCGGGGCTCCCACGAGGCCCCTGTTTGGATAAGGAGGAGAAAACAGATCAAACTCAATTAACTAGTCTTACATCTATGTGTCCCTTTATTTATTGGAACTCTTTGCACCAAATGTTTCATATAATGTGAGATTAGATTTGAAATGCATAAAACATTTTAGGTTTATTGGATTTGCCAGTTTAAGATCTGACAGGATTTTTACTTCTACCCAAACCTAATTATTGTTTAACTTCAGATCACCATTTGATTATAGAAACAACGAACGAAAGGTTCACTACTTGATTCAAAATTCAGATTAAGATGATCTGAAGGTAACAAACTATAAAAAATAACAAAATTGACACATATCCTGTACAATTCTACTGTGGGAAAATTATAACTGCCAAAACAGAGTTGGGTAATCCCAAACTTTTCTTGCTGGGGTCTCCGTTTGGTTTACTAAAAAGTTTTAGAACCCCAAATCCCCAAAAACCCACCACCAACATCCTTTTTAAAGGTTGTAGAAAAAAAGTCACCTGCATTAAATTACATTTTGGCCTCCTTTAAATCTCAAAACTAAAACCTTTAATGTAATAAACTTCTCTACCATTTTAGGACTCCAAAGAAACTGTGACGTCCTGCTAGTCAATGCCATGATGCAATTAACTGGTTTTCCTGGTCCTGTACTAATCCTGATTTTGGTCAATGGGATTGTTTTTCTTAAGATTCGTTATACATTTTTTTTTTTATATTGAATAAAAATGTTTTAAAGCAGCCACCATGAGAAGTCAATCTAATTGCTACACAGCAACTTTGGAAGCTTTCATTCTGGTAAGTTCAAACCAAAAGCACTTAAAGGGTCAGTGACGTCCAGTTTTATATTTCTACGGCGGATGGGTGTCAAGGCGTGTCGGGAGGTCCTCGTTATGTTTTGAGTATTTGTAGCTTTTTTTTTTAGCATTTAAATCTCAAGTGCGCCTAAAGAAGCAGACGCCGGAGATGGGAAAACGGAAATTGCTGCTTGATGCAGCTTTTTAAAGAAAATACTTTTCTTTTTTTCCACACAGATTTTTACCATTTTCGAATTGTACAGGATTAAAGTCCCATTATGGATGAAAACTAACCTGTAAAAAACAGGTAGATTTAACAGGAGCGTATTAATCTTTTCCACGCAACTTATTATTGCATAAATTGAAACAAGAAAATAACAAAAAGTTAGGACCCTCGTCACACCTTGCCGCATTAGACAGCGTATGCCTGACGTCCAAGAATCTTCTAAAACGCAGGCATAGAGAATTCATAACGAGTCCAAAACTTATGACCAACAACAGCCTAACGTATGCATAACACACGGCAGCGTAATGCCAATTAAATGTCACAAGCCAGTATCCTGAGTGGGGGCAGCGATGCGCCGGCCTGCATAAAAGATTTATTTGATCGCTGTATTAACCTAGCTGCTGTTTCCCACCGGCCCCCCCAAAAAATAATAAATAAATTAATTTTAAAAAAGACGGTTTGCAGTTGCAGCAGATTCAGTGTCATGTCTGCTAGGAGGATTGTTGGTCATGGCCGTGAGCGTGAACGCAGGGAGAATCCTTCATTCTCACCTTCACGCTCACCCTGTGAACCCCCTTTTATACCAAAACTCTGCCAATACGCCATCATACAGTAGCTGTAAGTGGTGTTGCACCGATACCGATACCAGTATCGGACGGGGCCCCGATACCGCCCTAAAATGGTGGTATCGGTATCGGTGAGTACCAACAAATAGTGCACCGATACCATTTTGAGAGCCATAAGTTTATTCAACTATTGTCACCCATTCCTGGTAGGCAATAAAAAGTTCTACTGGTTTCACTTTGTATTAGATTTTTTCCTGCTTCACAAAGGTAGGCAGCAGCTTGACAAAGCCATGATGGCAATTATTTTACATTATTATGGCATCGGTATCGGCCGATACTGCACAGCCAGGTATCGGGTATCGGGGCCAAAAAATGGCATCGGTGCAACACTAGCTGTAAGGTAGAAACACGTTCAGTGGTCGTCTGGAACACGTCAGATACGTTGATAGACGTTTGAGGTACGTTCTTCATAAGTTACGCATGAGTTACTTATAGGTTTTGGATAAGCTAGACGCCACGACTTATGAGTAACTTACAATTAATGTATGTCAACGATCAGATGACTTATCTGGAACTTATGTCCAACGTATGGGCATATGCTGGCATACGTCGGGAAAATTTGAGCATGCTCAAAATTTCTCAACGTACTTGTCGACGTGTGCCAGTGTGTTTTTTTATTAGCGTGCTTCAGCGTGTCTTCATTATGCTCATAACTACCCATAACTTATCCAACATATGCCAGCTAAATCTTCAAGGTGTGACGTTGGCATTAGTTTGTTTTTAGAAATTAGTAAAACATAGAATAGCTCCCCATGGCTTAATCCATCCTGCATTCCTCTCTTAAGAGCGTTTGTTTCACGTATTTCTTCTGTCCTTTTTTTATTGTGTCTTTTTGTTTTACTTCCTGTTAGCCTTACCCGTTCTCCTTTGGGGCCCATTATTCCTGGAGCCCCTCTTTTCACACCAGGGCCCTAAAATCACTCAGCAGACAGAGATGAGTTAGTATGACTGATTAAAGACAATGTCTTTTTAAAATGAACAGTCTTTTCAGGGACAATGATGAAATATTTTACTGGCAGTCCTTGAGCTCCAACTTCACCGGGGGGTCCCTGATCGCCCTCCACTCCCTGTTAGAGATTACAGTCCAGTTATGCAATCGTTGGTTATTTACACATTAATCCTTTTTTTGTTTTGTTTTTTTAGATGCTTTGGCAAGACATCACCTTGTGTCCTTGTCTTCCGGGCTCACCTGATTCGCCCTTAGCCCCTTTGTGGCCCTGTGGAGAAAGAAGTAAAAAAAATTTGCCCAAAAATCTCAACTGAAACTAATTGACAGCTGGATCCTTCCAAGTGAACTGACTTTCATTCCAGGGAGTCCAGAATATCCAGTCAGACCTGGGGGGCAGGCGTTCGGGCACTGAAAGATACAACATCATGCTTGCAGTTTAGAAAAAAATCCCACTGATAGTCAAGTTCACAAATAGAAGATTTACTTTTACCTTGAAAGTTAGCGTAAAATCAAAGATCTTGTTTGGAACCATTTGGTCACTGATTCTAATTTTGACTGATGATGTTTTCATTGATCTGATGTTAGGTTTTAATGACAGTCACCAAAAACATATGATAAAGCTTTGAAAAATCGTTGTGCTAAACTCTATATAATGGGAAACGGTTGGACAAAGCAAGCTGAAAACAAAGGAAACTGGACTTTTTTTTAGTATTTCTGAAAATGAAAAATGATTCAACATCTATCCAGGACTTTTTGTCCGTTCTGTTAGCTGGCACTAGAATAATCTGTAGTCAGAGTGCTGACGTTTTTTAAGAACCATGGAAGACTTTGTTTTGGTCCACTCTATAAAGCCTCGAACTCAACGCTAATTCTGACATTTTGAATATATTGCGATATATGGCAGAATTTGCCCAATGGCTAATCTGCATCTGCTGTCCAAAGGGCAGCACCATAACATTTTCACACATACTCTATATACCTCGGCTTTTAGCTGTTGTAACTTCTACCTTGGATACAACTAGAAAGAGTTTGATGGGTTTGCTTCTGCTGACTCTTGAAAATAACACACCAACTGTACGGTACTGGATTTGTATGCTTTTGATTATCTTGAGAAATAGGCGGGGTTAACGTCTGTTTATGTTAAACTGCATATAAACGGTTGAAAATGTGGGAAAGCAGGCTTTATGTCAATGTACAGCATGTCTAGCCTCGTGAGACCATCCTGATCTCGCAAGGTTTCAAGATTTCGCTCGCTAGTCAGTCTGGAGATAGCCTGGGTGCCATTCCGAACTTAGTCCCGCCCACAAGGTTTGAGGTCGGGAAGTTCGGTCTGGCATTGCTCAATAGTAGCACGAGTATGCTCGCCCAATATCTGGTCGGGCCAATCAAATTATCAGGGCGGGCTTTATACCATGATGGACAGATGATCAACAGTAACGTAATCAACCACGTCACCAAAGCGCGCTTGGGTGACAAGAACAATGGCTGCCACTGGAGAGTTGAGGTGTGTAGATGTAGCTATTAGGTCTGTTCTAGAAGATATCGACAGCAAATAAATTTTAAAAGAGGAACAGAGAAACGCGATCAAGGCATTTGTTGAAGAGAAAGATGTTTTTGGCGTCCTTCTTACGGGATTCGGCAAAAGTTTAATTTATCAGCTGGCTGCTTGGTTGCTTAACATACGTCACGCATTCCATTGCTCTTATTGGTTGTAGGTCTATCCAACTGAGTGCAGAGGCATTTTTTTTCCTGGTTCGTTCGAAACACGCCCCATAATCACAGCTCTATGGAGCAGTATCAGACTCATATTCTGACTAGAATTGAGTAGGACTACGTCAGGCTACTGGAGACTCTCCGTTAAAGAAAATTTGGAGCCGTTCACCAAACGAACGTCCAATCAGCGTTGGCTTTGAGGCGGGTTGAGGTGTGACGCAACGAGAAGCGCAACAGTTCAGTCTAAAGAACATGGCGGCTTCAGCCGATGAAACTAGCGTTAGCGTGGCTATCGAGCAAGTTTTATCGGAATTACAGAGTATTTCTTCACTGAAAGAAGAGCAAAACACTGCTCTGGAGGCTTTTCTCAGAGGAAAAGATGTTTTTGCTCTTCTCCCGACTGGTTTTGTCAAGAGTAGCCTGGCTGTTAGTACTTCATATGCTTCGTTGATCTGATTGGTTTATTTGGCCTGTCTATCACCAACATAGGCCAATTAGCTAACCAGTATTTTCGCCCCTTCCCAAAATTACTTCAACCGAAGGTTTCCAGATGGAGTCAGGTTACAGCATGTCTATATTGACTGTTGGAATGAATATTTAATTAGCTGTATAAGAAAAAGGTTAAAATGTGGGTCAATTAAACCAGCTGTTGGCCTTCCCACCGCTCCAAGGATTCTTTATTTGACTTGTAAGACCTTCAGAGGGGGTTTCTCCAATATCCAAATTACTTTCAGTGGTAGTAATGCTTTTTGGTGAATATAATTGTCAATGGAAGCTTATAAACAAACATGCTGCCCAGAATGACAAGCAAGTTATAAAGGCCTTTAACTATTATAAAATTTAGTCCAGCTCCTTGTATAAAAAATAAGGCCTTGAGAAATCTCCCTGTCCTCCTGGTTTCATGTTAAATGAAAAACATTACCATGATATTTAGTTTCTAATCAAAAGAACTACTTACCAGATCCTCCCCCTGGTAAACAGCTGGAGGTCCCTGAAATGTGCACAAAAAAATGTTATTCTATTGGCATAAAAGAATATAGCATGAATCTACAATCTGTATCAAATATTACACATTTAATTCTACTGATGTTTCTCTGAAAAGCTCAAAATTTCACAAAAGATATTTAGCTATCTACGTCTGTTTAAAATACGCATTTACCCAAAAAGATGACATGAGATGAAATTAGATTTTTAGTTTTATCAGCAAATAGCACAGTTTTTTTTTTAATATAGTTTTCAATATGATCATTGCCTGCTTCATCATAACCTGATAAAAGAAAAACATGAGCATTGTTAAATTAGGGCACAGTCACTTTATGTAATTCATGAACAACACAACACTTGCAAAGACCTTAATGGTGGACTCAAGGTAACGCTGTTAACTGGGAGCCATATGAGAAAAAAACGTCTGTAACAAAGACAGTAACAAAATCAGCTGTCTGTCACCTGAAGAACATCTCCAGGATTAAAGGACTGAAAAACCTGAAAAGACCCTGATAAAATTCCTGCTTCGTTCATCGTTAGTAGAATTAATCCCTGCAGGAGTGTCTTCATAGTTCTGCCTAGAAAAGAGGATCAGAAAGCTGCAGCTGATCCAGAACGCTGCTGCCTGCATCCTCACTAGAACTAGGAAAGTGGAGAACATCAGCCCAGTTCCACAGTCCTTCCACTGGCTCCCTGTATCTCAGAGAAATACTTTAAAATCCTTCTGTTAGTCTAGAAATCACTGAATGGCTTCGCTTTAAAATAATTACAGACTTTATGTCAGTGGATCAACAGCCAGACCTTTCAGGACTACTGGATCTAATCTATTCTGCAGAACCAGAACCAGAACAAAACATAGAAAGCAGGTTTAAGTTCTTATGCTCCATTAATCGGGAATAAACTATAACGGTTTATTAAAAACCTCGGTTGCTTTAAATCGAAAGTATTATCGGTTCAGATGGACCTTTGACTTTCCGATCTAAACATGTTTTTTGTCAAACATTCCTATTAGTCGTTTTAATTCATATGTTTTATTCTCTAAAACTATTTATCTTGTTTATTAATTAAATACCTTAATGCCCCTGCAACAAAAATGATGTTTGAGTAACTACATTTTTAAAAAAAGTTTATTTTTCCATGTTTTGAGCGAGTAAATAGGACAAATAAGAAAAAAAGTATCTCTATAATTAGCTTATTTCAAGGGCCAGAAATCTACAATCGATTTTCAGATTGTTTTATTTACCTGCTCAAATAAAGGGCAGATAACTTATTGTAAGGTTGTTGGGGTTTTTTTTACTTACTTTTAGATCTGTTTTTGCAGTGATGTACTTGTTTCTTTTTTTCATCCACAGCATGTTGAATTTTCTAAAATGTGCTGAAATAAACTGGCCTACACTGCAAAAAACATCCAGAAATAAGTAAAAAATGTCTTAAATGAAGTGTATTTACCCCTAATTTGAGCAGGAAAATAAGATGATCTGCCGATGGAATGAGTATTTTTACTCCTAAAATAAGATAATTAGATAATATACACTTGAAATAAGACAAAGCAATTGTTTTTTTCTTATTTTAAGTGTAAATTATCTTGTTCTATTGGCAAAGTGTCTGAATTCAAGAAAAAATTCACTTAATTTGAGCAAAAATGACTTATTTAGATTTCCCTTTTTTGCAGTGTATCAACTGGACGTGTTTATTTTAGGTCTGCAACTGATCATTTTACCAACAAATAAGTGGGTTGGTTGTAAAACAAAGGATGAATCCTAGCATGTATGGTGGAGGATCAGTGATGCTGTGGGCTTGTTTTCCTGACATCGAGATATGTTACATTGGTTTTATTTATGAGAATTGTGAAGAGGGTCTTACCGCTTAAAGTTTGACATAAAATAGCCTTTTATATAACTTAAAATGTCAATGTTTCCCTCATGACCAGTTTCCACAAATAAAACAGAGCAATCAGACAGAAAGATGGATCTTTACCCGAGGACCAGCAAGACCTGGTAGACCGACGGGACCTCTCCTCCCTCTCGATCCCTATGACAGATACAGAAGATTGATTGTCAAATACTATTTAGTTACAAATGTCTAGACCAGAGTATTTTCTTCATAAAAGAACCCCCAATAACTTAATATACGACTGCTTTGTCAGTTTTACTGTGTTCCTTATACTCACAGGAGGTCCAGCTCTCCCCAGTTCACCTGGTAGCCCATCAGTACCAGGAATACCCTGCAGGCGAAGAAGCAGAAAATTCACTGAGTGTGCTGTTAAACTGGCACACATGCTAGGTTTCTGTTTGTCAGATTCTCCCATATCCGGATTTTATAACCAACAAAGGAAGGAGGCAGTTTGAAAGACACTAGACTCTTTATTTGTACAATTTAATTTAAATTGTACAAATAAATGGATTCTAATTCGATACTTTTGTATTATCAACAGAATGAAGCTTTATTGTTGAAAAGGGAAAATTAAATAAGTTTTAACTGAAACTAAATTGTTCCTATTTACTTGTTCTTGCTATTTTAGTAAATAAAAAAATCTTTGCTTCAGAAAAACATTAATTACTATGAAATATGTTTCTGTTAGCTATGCGTCATTGAAAACGGGCAGATGTACTGGCGAACTGATGATAAAGAACATAGACAGGTAGATGGACGGATGGATGGACAGACATGCAGACAGACCGATGGACAAGAAGCCAAACAGAGAGACAAAAAGACAGAGAGTCACACCGACAGGGAGTACTTACATCAGTCCCATCAGGTCCTACCCCCTTTGGATGACAAATCACACATTAGGAAATCATAATATAGACTAACAGATACAGTCAGAAGAAAACAAACTGATGAAGCAACAATTCATCGTTTTACAGCAACATGAGGTAGAACGATTAAGTCCTTATGGAAATCAGGCTTGATGGTGAACTATTCTATGAGGATTTTTTTTGCCATAAATCTGTTCTTACTGGTTCTCCTGCAGGTCCCCGAGCTCCACGTTCCCCCTAAAAGCAAACAAGATCAGAACCACTGTCACAGGTTAGAAATAAAAGCAGTTAAAACGTTATTAGATGACAGTCTGGTGACTTTTTATAGGCATCGTTTCGATTATACTTTCAGTTTAAATAAACTTACTTTGGAGCCTTTCTGTCCCACAGGGCCTGGATTCCCTGGGGGTCCCACCGGTCCCTGCAGAGACGATTCACATTCTGTTAAAATTTAGATTTTTCACACTGATCTTTTCAACAATGCTGAGGATAAATATATATGATCACCAAATATTTTTATCCAAACAGTTTACCTAGCCTGAGTTTATTAGCAATTAGATTTTCTCATGAGTCTGACAAGATCTGTGGCTAGTATTATATTAATGAGAGACATTTTAACCTCATTTGGGAGGACTACTATGCATTGAGACAAATTGGATGACATTTGTGCATTTTCACACATAAATGCATTACCTTTTTGTTTGACATTAGGGAAGAAAGAAGAGATTTACTGACCTTCACCACTCTGCTTCATCCTAAACTTCCCCAGATATGTTAAGGGGATTGGTTCATCTTTTTAAACTGTTATAGTTGTCTGTATAAATCTGGTGCTGGTTGGAGCTGGTAAGAGTTCTGAAAGGCCACTCAGAGAGGAAAAAGCCATTTAGCAATATAAGTGGTCTGATGAACTCACAAATGAACTCGGGATTAAAGAACTAAAACATGTCATGTGGTATGAGGAAAAATGTTTGAACATAGCCATTGTTATAAGAGGCTTTCAAGCCGAAGATCACCATCTTAGACCTTAAAAACCTAGTTGGGAGCCTCATGGAAGTTTTGTGCAGCTAGAGGGACTGGTTCGCATCACAAAATGGAAAGCATGGTGCAAAAAGAATACTATGTGGAAGTATAACTAAAGAATATAGAAGCATTAGTCAAAAGGTTAAGGCTTAGGTAAATACACAATGACTAAAAGTGCTTCTAAATTAGTTAAAGAAGTGTTTCAGTCAGTAGTAGTAGTCACTTCAGCCGCTGCTACCCCTACCATCCTGAAAGCCCTAAATGCCTTGCCTCCTATACATGTCCCACACAGGGTAAATGGTTTGAATAAAATGCACAATAACAATGACCCCTAAATGAAAAGGGCAAAAGTATTTAACCCTAATGTATGAAGACAGAATCCATCCTAAAGGGCAAACAAGTAATGAATACTCATAAAATAAGTTTTGTTTAAGAGATACACATGCAAACCAATCTCCAAATGCATTTAAACATTTTACACAATCGCATGCTGCGCCCATGCCCTCCTTTCCAGGGGACTATAGTGTCTCTCCTACTTGTGTATGAATCTGTTTCAGCTCCCCTTTGTCACTTTGAAGGTGGAAACATGTCTGTTATTGGCTAGTTTTCATTCAAATCCCGCCTCTTAAGACAGTACTGTTTATTTCTGGTGTTGTCACATAGCAGTAGAAGCATTTTTAGGCTATTTGCTGTTTGTATCTAACAGTTAAATTTATTATATTTATATAGAGCCAATTTACAACACATCATCTCAAGGCACTTTACAGTTCAACCAGATCATAGAGTCAAATTGATTTAAAGTTTTCTATTTAAGGAAAACCAGTTGATTGCATCAACTCATTGACTCGGATGCAATCCCTCACACTAAGCATGCTTGTAGCGACAGTGGAGAGGAAAAACTCCCTTTTAACAGGAAGAAACCTCCAGCAGAACCAGGCTCAGTGTGAGCAGCCATCTGGGGTTCAAGGAGACAGAAGCAGAGATAAAACAGCCATCTCTTTCTTTAACTGACAGTTTTAAAAGCACAATAATGGGCATAAAGGGAAAAGTACATACAAATTAAATGCAAATGAAATACAATTGTGCAACTATATAATGTATGTTTATTCAAGCCTCGCTTTCCTCAACAGACAGTAAAGCTAGCATCATATTGGTTCCAATTTAACATTTATGATCATTTTAAAACACATGGCCTCTGCTGTCAGAACACATTCATGTTGTATCAAACTACATTTTTTATTAATAACTTGAATTTAGCAAATTTTAACTCTTTAAGAGGACAGCAGTTATCCTGGATGCTTTGCTAATGTTATTAGCAATCAGTTAAAAAGCTGTACCGTTTCAAGAGGTGGGATTTTCTGCAAAGTCGCCAATCACATACTTTCTCTCTGGTGCGTACTAGTCTCAAAGAGACAAAGGTTGACATAAGGGCACAGAAACAGATCCACATGTGAGCAGGAGAGGTGTGTGGAAAAAAAGCTATCAGTGCCAAGAAGGAGCATGCACTGATGCGTGTGACATACTGGGAGCCTCTTAGCATTGAATCCTCAAAAGTTAAACATTCAAAGTGTGCATGGAGATTAGTTTGCAGAATTATCACTTTATACTGATTACTTAACCTACTTTATGTTTAATGAATCCCGATTTTTTTTCCCCCCCGCCTCTCTTTCCATAACTAGCTAAAGTTCAAAGTAAACACTGGCATTACATGTACGTCATGTTAGCATTCAAACTAGCACAGAAGTGGCCTTTAGGTTTAAAAACTTCATTCAGTAATCAAAATATATTTCCCTGTTGTGCAAACTGATGCTTATGAATTGACAGCTGCCTCCAGGCATTTAATCAAGGCTATTGTTCAAAGTGTGCGTGTGCATCTAGGCTTAGCTCTGAGGGCCAAAGAACCGATGACAGTGAAATATTACCTATTGCAGATTAAACAGGGAATGTGACTGATTAATGTAGCCAGTTTTAAAAGTATTCTTTAAAAAAAGATCTGTTTTTGCTCAACTTTAAGATCAACAATGAATGTCTTGGGCCAATTTCACTCTTTTTTTAAAGTTAGACTGAACTTTATTTATCCTTTGGGATTATTCCTTCAGGGAAATTCTGGTTCCAGCAGCTTATATAGAATATAAAGGGCAGAGATAAAGCAGGATGCAACTAAAGATAAAATACAACAGACAATATAAAAAGAGTGTATATAGTATAAAAAAAAGCATAAAGAAAAAGTTGTATGTCCTGAAATGTGTTTCCTTTAGATAAATTAGATAAATAGATATAAAAATATGAAAAACATCTGCACAGCAGAGAGCTAAGCAAAGACTTCACAGTAGTTGGCCTGTGTTATTGCAAAGTGAGATATGCCAAATTTGATCTGTTTCTAAAGCAGAACTTATGAGTTCATTTTCTCAAATATTCATAAAAGATGTGGAATACGACTTTAAGTCCATGTTTGTAGTTGCCATCTCAAAGTCTTCAGATTTCAGTTCTGTTTGGAGAAATGACCCATATGTCCAGCAAACTATTGTGAGAAGGTCATGGAACGGGAACCAGATCATGTTTGACCCAAGGCATATCGTCTTACAGGCATCTCTACCAACGCTTCCAATGATGGGGATATGATCATATATGACAACAGAAACAAGAGGCAAAACCATTTCTGATAACCTGATTCTGCAATTAAGCTGTGTCTGAATCATTTTCAGACATGGTTTAAGAGATAAAGTTGTGTCTAAGTCTAAAAAAAGTGTGAAATTGGCCCAAGATATGGCCCAAGAATCATGTCTTGGCCGCCTTTTACAGTTGTTTTTTTTATATCTCGGCTTCTGTCTCCTTGAACCCCAGTCGGCCTCAGCAGATGGCCGCTCACACTGAGCCTGGTTCTGCTAGAGGTTTCTTCCTGTTAAAAGGGAGTTTTTCCTCTCCACTGTCGCTACAAGCATGCTTAGTGTGAGGGATTGCTGAAGAGTCAATGAGTCGATGCAATCAACAGGTTTTCCTTAGTGAGAAAACTTTGAATCAATTTGACTGTATGATCTGGTTGAACTGTAAAGTGCCTTGAGATGACGTGTGTTTTGAATTGGCGCTATAGAAATAAGCTGAATTGAATCATTGCCTTTTATTACATGTGTTATCTTTGACATTATTTACATTTGTTGATGAATTCCTGAAGGTCCTTTTCAAATGCATGAGTGACACCAAAATATTCAATAATCTACTTATAAGAAAAGGGGAAGATACTTTACTAGTACTTTGTATATGAATAACAAAAACAATTTTCTAACACCTAAAAGGTTGACTGTAAAATGAAGGAGACTGCATGACTCTACCCTTAAAGTATCACTCTGTGATGTTCTTGGCACGGCCACCAAGCAGACAGAAAGCTCCCTGTAATCGCTCGGCAGCAGGTTTCTCAGCATATACTTCTTTCCTGTCAGCCATTGCTGAAGAGCCTTCTCCCCCCCAAACTCTTTCAGGTGCACACAAAAGACCCCTGTTTCTGTCAGGAAGCCATGTGAGACCCAGCCCAAAATACCCACCCCGATTTATTCAGAGGACTTCTTTCCCTCTCAACTTTTCTGACCATAGGAGACCAAGACAAACTGCTCAGCAACAGGCTGATGCATATCTCAGCCTTAGCATATGTCACTTGCATGCTCATGTTTCTAAACCACCTGGATCACCATGAATAGTGGTGCTTTGATATCAGTCACAGAGCATGATTTTATATTTTTCTTACATCTGCTCCTAGACGGCCTGAAGCTCCTGGAGACCCGTCTTTTCCATTATCCCCGGGAATACCCTGGAGACAGAACATTTCAGCTCATTAAAGCTCATTTTATTAAATGAACTCAGAAACTTTATCCATCATAACCAGCGGTGTTTTGAAACAAGAGAATCCTCTCACCGGCGGTCCAGTTACATTGGAGTCCTCCCCTCTATCACCCTGTAAAAAGCAGAAAAGAAATATTCAACTAACTCAAACAACCGTCTATATATGTTTATAATATATATTCTTAAAACATGAAGTCTTACCAAGAGCAATTTTCTTACTGCGCTTATTTTGAGTGTAATCTTCTCAAAAGATTAATAATCTAACACAATCTGCGCTTGCTTAGTGTAGAAACCTCAATACTTGGTTAGATGGACCATTTTTTTCTGTTATTTTTAGTTCCTTTACTTTAGCTCATTTAAAGCACTCAATGTTGCCTTAAATCTATTTATTGATGGGATCTGCTTGACAAGAGGATGAAAAAAATATTTTTGCACAGAAATCCAAACGTGAGGACAGGAACATCTGTTTAGCTGTCAGGAGACTGTTTTTTTTTTTGGGTTATTGTTTGGCTTTCTTCTGGTTCTCCTACTTTTAGATTAGTGTTTGCAGCATCCGTTTGGAAAAAGGCTCTTACATCTTTTTATGATGTAAAAAAAATGTTATTTGAATGTCACTGAACTAAGAAATGCTTCAAGACTGAAGAATCTTCAGACTGCCGTTTGTTTTTATAAAACAGGGATGATAAAATGCAGACTCACGTCGATTCCATCCACTCCAGGTACTCCAACGATCCCAGGCGGTCCAGGGGGGCCTCTGGGACCAACCGCGCCCCTCTTACAAACAATCACAGAAAACAGATTTTTATTATTCCTTCTCTTCTCTCTGAAATTCACCATTTAAAACATCATGCAGAGCTGCTGCTGTGCCGCTCGTGTGCAGGGCGGTCGACAAAGACCCATTGTCCCAGAGATGTGAGAGGAAAGGTCATGAAACCCAACCTGGCTTCCATTTTAGTCCCATTAAATTGCCTAAGTAACATCATGTGTTCAGATTACAGCGACTGTCTGGAACACCCTGCTGAGCATGCTGGGATAAAGCTGCCTTTTAGCTAATACCAAAAGTCAAGGGTTAAATCAACATTTTCATTGCTTAAATCATAAGTGCAACTACGGAAAAATAAACCATTTAAACAAAGATACTGTTCAAAGTTAAAGTGATTGCAATAATATATCAGATGTGATGACCTGTGCCTGCAAATTAATAAAAAAAAACACCTCTGTATTGTTCGATCAAATAGCTAAAAGGAAGTTAACATGATCAAAATTCAGCAGCCTGAGACTTTAGGAATAATAGCAAGGTTGGAGGAGATATTTAAATCTCAATGTGATCAAATTCATTATGATCTGTGAAGTAATGCTGATTAGAAAGGCAAATAAAACAAACGTTAATATTGAGGGAGCAGTGCAGCCAGGCTCTGAGTCTAAAGTACAGTTCAACACTTAAAAAAAGTTAAAATGTACATCCTCTCACCTGAGCGGAACAAATCAAGACAATCTGCAGTAAAACCACCAGAAAACCCTCCTGATGGATCCTGAAGAGAGCCATGGTCTTCCCAAAGAGCCAGGAAGATACTAAAAAATCCCTTATTTTACCAGATTAACGAGGCTATCGGTCAGTCCATCTGCCAGTGTCCCCCCCTGACTTGAACCCCACTGCCGGTACGAAGGGAGGATGTGAGAAAGTCCCAACTGTTCCTGAGAAGCTGAGGGTTAGCTGAGTGGAGGAGGAGGGTACCTCTGAAACCACAGGAGGGGGGGGGACCCTCCCGATTACTTTCCTTTCTACTTTAACTGAACCTTTTTTCATATTTATTTATCATTTTTCTTTACTTATATAATTGTAGTATACTTCATTTAGATAAATAGATTCTGAAAAAAACATCAAGGCTCATTCCAAGGCAAACTCATCCTCCTTTTTGTAATTCATTGAGCCACAACTGCCAAACTAAGTTTAGTGATGCTATTAATCTAATGAAAAAGGCTGACCGTATCTGATCTTCTGATCATCATACAGGGCAAGTGTGCAGCGACAGTAGGTAGAAAGAGCTCTAGTGAGTGTCATGATGGGTTCACTAAAAGCGACCCAAGAATGCAGAACACCACTGACAGACACAGGGATGAAAGTTCAACAAGTTTATTGATGCATAAGCACACAGAATATACTGGTTCAGGTTCGGGGCCTGGATACTGGTTCACCGGAGTCTGCGTGAGAGACAGTTCAGTTAGCGTTGCCAACAGGGGTTTGATTTCCTGAAGTTTACTGATTGTACCTTGAGGGTTCTTGAGGTTAGCTTTGGTAGGGTCTCTGTTGGATCTGGAGAAGAGTTCATCAGCAGAGTCCGTTTGCTGCTTCAGCGTCTCACGTCTAATATGAACAGACCTTGGTTTAGGGTTTCCCAGCTCTAGTCCAGAGCTGCTTGGAAGTTCTCTATGATTCTTCAGGTTTGGCTCTGAGGGTCGGCTCGGCAGGTTAGCTCTTCCTGAGCTTTCACAGAGGAGGCACAGGTTTCCTGGAAGACAGAGACTAGGGTTAGAATCCAAGCTGGATTCAAAAGTCATAGAGTAACACTGAGGATCTAGGCTTAAGCGCTGACCAACTGGAACAACACTGCGGCGTTGAGGCAAGGTCTGAAGACAGCTTAAGTAGTGGATCCTCTGATGATCTTGATGAGCTGCAGCTGTGCAGGAGGCTCCCTCAGAGGATCCACGGCGGACTCTGCTGGAGAAAGGTGGAATTTCTCCAGCTCCCAACAGTACCCCCCCCCCCCCCCCCCCCCCCCCCCCCTCAACGACCGCCCCTTGGCGGTCCGGAAGAGGTTGATGGGCAGGAACGCTCGTACTCCTCGATAAGGGCAGGATCGAGGATGTACGAGCCCGGAACCCACTGGCGATCCTCCGGTCCGTAGCCCTCCCAGTCGACGAGGTACTGCCATCCGCGACCTCGTCGACGGGAGTCCACAATGCGATGGACAGTGAAGGCCGGATGACCATCGACCTCCAGGGCGGGTGGTGGGGAGTCGCACGGTGGGCACAGAGGGCTCGAAGAGACAGGCTTTACTTGGGACACGTGGAAGGTAGGGTGGATTCGGAGGGACTGAGGTAGTTGGAGACGGACGGCTGAGGGGTTGATGACTCGAGTGATCTTGTAGGGCCCGATGAACCTAGGAGAGAGCTTTCGAGACATCCCCTTGAGGGGAAGGTCTCGAGTGGACAGCCATACCTCCTGGCCCTCAGTGTACTCGGGGGCGGGGCGTCTCCTGGCATCGGCGAAGCGTTTACTGGACTCTGTTGACCGGTTGAGGGTGGCGATGGTTTATCTCCAGATTCTTTGGCAACGGCGGATGTGTTAGTTTACGGACTGGACCGAAATCTCTCTCTCGTCTGCGGGGAAAAGAGGTGGTTGATAGCCGAGACTAACCTGGAACGGGGATTGTCCGGTGGATGCAGATCTGAGGGAGTTGTGTGCGTATTCTATCCAAGGGAGAAATTGGCTCCAGTCCACGGGATTGTTTGAAGTGAGGCAGCGAAGGGTTGATTCCAACTGCTGGTTCATTCTCTCAGTCTGACCATTAGATTGGGGGTGGTAACCAGAGGTGAGAGAGGGTTTGCAGCCGAGGGCAGAACAGAAAGCCTTCCAGACCTGGGAAATGAACTGAGGGCCTCTGTCCGAGAGGATCTCTTGGGGAATGCCGTGTAGCCGGAAAACATGCTTGATAAGGAGCTGGGCTGTCTGGAAGGCCGTGGGAAGTTTTCTAAGGGGAATAAGATGGCAGGACTTCGAGAAACGGTCAACAATGGTGAATATGGTGGACATACCTCGAGAGACAGGGAGACCGGTGACAAAATCAATGGCTATATGGGACCAAGGACGCGAGGGAACAGGAAGCGGCTGGAGCAGGCCAGAAGGAGGTTGGTGTAAGGCTTTGTTACGGGCACATGTGGGGCAAGCCAACACATACTCCTTGACGTCCCTATGGAGAGTGGGCCACCAGAAGCGTCTTGAGATGAGGGCAACAGTTCTGCTGACTCCTGGATGAGCAGAGAACTCTGCGGCGTGCATCCAATGGATGAGACGGGACCTGACGGAAGATGGAACATAGGTTCGGTTAGTGGGACCGTTACCTGGATCGGGTTCAGTGGCCAGGGCTGAGTTGATGAGGTCAGTTATTTCCCAGTTGACCACCCCCACTGTGCAGGAAGCCGGAAGAACAGGTTCAGGTGTCTCGGGATGATCGACGGAGTAGAGAAGAGAGAGAGAATCGGGCTTGACATTTTTGGATCCGGGTCTGTAGGGGATGATGAGATTGAACCGAGAGAAGAAAATTGACCACTTCGATTGGCGAGGATTAGCCTGTTTGGTTGACTGGATGTAAGCCAGGTTCTTGTGGTCAGTCTATACAAGAACCGGATGCTCAGCTCCTTCCAGCCAATGTCTCCATTCTTTCAACGCCAGTTTAATGGCCAAAAGCTCTCGGTCACCCACATCATAATTTTGCTCTGCAGAAGAAAGTCTACGGAAGAAGAAAGCACAAGGGTGTATCTTTTGATCAGAATCTAGTCTCTGGGATAGGACTGCTCCAACACCAGAATCTGAAGCATCCACCTCAAGAATAAACTGCTTCGCTGGGTCAGGTTGCATAAGCACAGGTGCTCTGGAAAACAAGGATTTTAATTTATCAAACGCTGCTTGAGCCTCAGGAGTCCACTGAAAAATGCTTTTGACAGAGGTCAGAGAAGTTAATGGAAGGGCGGTCTGGCTGTAGTTTCTGATAAACCGACGATAGAAGTTAGCAAAACCTAAAAACCTTTGTAGCTGTTTGCGGTTCTCTGGAACTGGCCAGTCTAATACTGCCTTAATCTTGTCCTCAGATGGTTTTACCTGGCCGCCCTCGAGCACAAACCCCAAAAAGGTGACTGAAGGTTGAGGAAATTCGCACTTCTGGCTTTAACGAACAGCTTGTTCTCCAGCCGTCTCTGCAAAACAAGGCGGACATGTTTCTTGTGTTCATCGAGGTTCTTGGAGTAAATGAGAATGTCGTCAATGTACACGAAATCAAATACATTGAGAAAGTCTCTGAGAACATCATTTACGAGGGCCTGGAAGCAGGCTGGAGCGTTAGTTAGACCAAAGGGCATTACTAGGTATTCGAATTGGCCCAAGGGTGTTTTGAAGGCTGTTTTCCATTCGTCGCCTTCACGGATCCTAAGGAGATGATAAGCGTTTCTTAAATCCAGTTTAGAAAACACCGTAGCTCCCTGTACAGGTTCAAACGCAGAGGCAAGGAGAGGAAGTGGGTATTTGTTCTTAACTGTAATCTGATTCAAACCTCGATAATCAATACAAGGTATCAGGGAACCATCCTTCTTCCCCACGAAGAAGAACCCGGCGCCCAATGGAGAGGAAGATGGACGGATTATTCCAGCAGCTAATGATTCGTTGATGTATCCTTCCATGGTTTCTCTTTCGGGCTTGGAAATATTATACAATCTGCTGCTAGGTAGAGGAGCACCAGGTAAAAGTTCAATGGCGCAATCGTATGGTCTGTGTGGAGGTAGGGACGTCGCACTGACCTTACTGAAGACAGGGGCTAGGTCATGGTACTCAGAAGGAACTGAAGAAAGGTCAGGAGAGTCCATCTCCCCCCCACCTCTAGGAGACCCCACCAAGGGGGCAGCTGAACGAAGGCATGTTTCATGGCATGAGATGGACCATGATTCCAGGTGACTTTCAGTCCAGTTAATGTGAGGATTATGCTTCTCCAACCATTCGAAACCGAGCACCAGCGGGGAACATGCAGAGGGAAAAACAAAAAATTTTATAGTCTCTCGGTGGTTACCTGACAGAAGTAGCTCGAGGGGCTGACTTTGATGGGTATCTTGATGGAGTCTTTTTCCGTCAATAGCGGATACACTGAGAGGCTGAGTCAGAGGAATGGTTTCTATTTGGAGTTGCTGGACGAGGTTAGAATCGGTTAGGTTACGTTCACAGCCTGAGTCGATGAATGCAGAAAAAGAGAGGTTTTGATTAGCACAGAACAACGTGGCAGGAAGTAACAGTCGAGGAGATTTCTTAGTGTTTATCTGGCCCGCCAGACTCCTCAGATCTTCTGGCGGGCCCAGGCTTTTGATTTAGCCGGGCAGGAAGCGATGAAGTGTCCTCTCTCACCACAGTAGATACATAGTTTGCTTAGAAAACGCCTTTGCCTCTCCTCTGGAGCTAGCCTAGTGTGTCCCACCTGCATGGGTTCGACATCCCTTTCGCTCGAATGAGAGGCCTGAACAGGCAACGGTAGAGACTGGGACTTGGGACTCTGAATGGGCAGCTGCTCTGTAGAGGAAGAACAAACAGTCACGTTATGTGAGGCAGAAGAAAGTGTACCCTGCTTCTTTGAACTGTTTCTGGCACGAATTCTATTATCCAATCTAATGGAGAGGCGAATTAGATCTTCGAGGGTAGCTGGTTCGTCGAGGGTTGCGAGCTCATCCTTAATGTGCTCATTTAATGCAATGAAAAAGGCTCCCTTTAGAGCGCTTTGGTTCCATCTGGAAGCTGCCGCTTTAACCCGGAAGTTAATGGAAAATTCAGCCACCGAAGAGTTTCCCTGTTTTAGGTTGAAAAGAGCTCTGGAGTCTATAGTTTGGTCAGTTTCCTGGTTGAATACCTGGGTAAATTCAGAGATGAAATCAGAGTA